GATAAGGGAAAAAGGATTTAACACGTGATTTATTGTTTCCGAAATCTTGAGTGAATTGGTCTAATGTCCCACCCGCTATATAATTTCTGATGTCAATAAATCTCAATTCATATGGAACGTTTGTTTTCTTTACAATGATTTGCTTAAATTGAGAAGAAGAACCCAGCATTGATTTTATCTTCCATTTTGCAGTATTTAAATCACGAAGAATTAAATTTAAATCAAACTTTCCCGAATTAAAACCAATGATATTCACTTTATTAAATTCTTCATCTAAAAGCTCTTTCATTGCTTCCTTTTGTTTCTCATTTAATGTATTCATTAATTCTTCATATTGTTCAATATTTGATTTAGCAACTAATGAACAGGTTGAAAATAAAAATTCAATCCAATCAGAGATGAACGAATCACTTGATGTTAAGCAAAAATTCCTCGTAAATGTTTTATCACGGTCTACGACCTCGCCGCTTTGCGGCTTTATTTTGACAGTTGATGATACCATGAATGGTTTTAAGTAAGCGTTCAAAGTTGCACACTCAGAAAGTTGTAATTCTTCTTTAGTCTCTAATGTTTCGAAGTCAAAAGTAATATAATATCTTGTTGGTTTATAATATTCCTGCAAATTATGTGCTAATAGCCATTGATATATCTTCTGTTTCGTAATATGTGGTGCATATGGTTGTTGTGTGTTTTGCAATTGAGCGTCTTGAATTAATCTTCCATTATTTTCTTTACATTTCTCACAATGTTTTAAAAATCTTCTTTGGTTTTTCCTTTCTGGATCATCACGGATAGAATAAACTTCTTCTTTACAATATGGACAAACTCTATAGCCGGTGAGTGCTTCAACGTCTGTAATTCTGTCAGCGTGAAGGTTTCCACATGGACTCTGTGTTAATAAAATATTTATTGTTTCAAATTCTGGATCTATCATTATTGAATCCACTAATGGAAAGTCTACCTTGTTAATGTCTACGTCTTCTGGTTGAGGATCACAATAATAGAAATCAATATTAACATTTAACATTCTCGCTAATCTCTCACTTTCTGATGAAATGTCAAACCCTTCATATGCATCTATTGCTTCATTTAAATAGCTTCTACGAGTTTTAGGATTAACACCATCAGGAATGTTATAGAAGCGTTTAAATAACCTTCTACCTTCGGCTCTTATTTGATTATCATTCATTTTAGCTGTTCCATTTTTGTTCATTTATGTAAGAATAAAAATTAAATAAAAATAAAGTTTATTTTTTTAAAGTCCGAGACTCAGAGAGTCCAGGGCTAAAGCCCATAAAATGAATTAAGAACACATAAATTTTTATCATCTGCGACGTGACGAATACATTTTAATTTACTCAAGAATGCGTACCCTGATACATTAAATCTAATTCCTGTCTTATTTAATTTCACAACTTTGAAAAGGAATGTATGAATAGCTATAAAATGATGAGAAGATGTTTTATGGGTTGCTTCCATTTTTTCTGAAATAAATGAATAAATATAATGTTTATAAGTTTTCATATCTTTTATGTGCTTAATAACGAATGGTATAGACCTTTCCACTTCATCTTCCTTCGGTGCTGTTCTTTCATATGAAACATTATTAGTATCTTCAACAATGAAACCACAATCACATAAAATTTTATATGTTCCAATGGTTTCTTTTGATATTTTATCTAATAAATCAAAAACTTTATCAACACCTGTGCATTTATTTAAATAATAATTTGTGTAAATATCATGATCTTCTTTCTTAATCGTATTTGTTGCATATGTTACATTTTTCAGTGCTTTTTTGAATTTTTCAGAATCAAGAGGAGGTGAAAGTAATATACATGGATAATCTCCATCGTCAATAAATTGTAACTTATGTTTATGAATAAATTTTGTGCCTTCTTCTGAAAGTGTTTCATCTATTTCGCCATCTAATAAATTTTTAGTAGATTCCAAAAAGTAATTTTTATATCTTTCCTCATGTGATTTTTGAACTTCTGATTCTGAAGCTGGGATATTCATTAAACCCTCTACTTCATTCTCATTATATTTTTCAACTTCTCTTAATTCCTTAATTTTTTCATCTATTTCATCTCTTATTTTTTCCAATTTCTCAATCTCATCGTTATAATATTCATCTTGTTTAATTTTTTCTTCAAAATATTCAGGAGGTGTTTCAAGGCTCTCTGAGCCCAGGTCCTTTGGACCATAAAGAGGAATATTCTCCTGTTTTTCAACTTTTTTGGGATATAAATATCTCATTATAGCCTTTTTAGTAATTGGTCCGTTATATTTAAATTCATTCAACAATCTGGAAAACTCTTTCACATTCTGCATATATGTTGGATAAGAACCGTCTCCAAAAATTTCTAAAATATTTTCTAATTCTGAATTAGTGAACTTTAAAGATTTCAATGAATTAGTTGTTATACTCATTTATTATAAAATAAAAAATAAATTTAACTTAGTTTTAATTTTACGTAAGAAGTCAATTTTTTATCTTTTATTTCATTATGTTTGGGCTGAGTGTAAATGTCTTACGATTCTGAAAATTTTTAAATCTTGATTTATTCAAAAACGTAAGAATAAAAACCGTAAGAATCATACATTTTTTACTTCATATGTTAAAAAAATGATACAAAATCGTTCAATATTGTATGAATTCTTACGTTTACAAAAAAAGTCACACAACCCATATACTCTACTACTGAAAATTTTTGGCCAACATATCAAAACTAAGGATAATGTTTTGAATATATAAGCAATAATACTTTGTCTAGAGAATTAAATTTGTGCTATCTAATTGTCAATTCTTTGAATTTTTTTTTAATGCAAGATATCCCGGCATTGGCCTCAATGAATATAAACTACATGCATCATAATATTAGTTTGTAATAGCATAAAAGCGAAATTCCTAATTTCTTCTCAAATAAATTCCTAAAAAAAACATCGGAATTAATGATTGGAAATAGGTCAAAAAAATTCCTAATATAAAACTTATTCTTAAGATAAAATCAAAATTCGAAAATATCTATTTTTCAAAACACGCATCCAAAAGCGAAAAAATTCGAAAAAATCATGTTCTTATAAAACTCGCCGATTTTGCAATTTTTATCCGATTTGAAGTGATAGAATATATTACCATCTTACAAAAACATATACTTCATTATTGCATTCACAAAATATTAATCAGAACATTAGGAAAAGTGGATTTTCGAAAAAAGACGATAACGATTATTTGCAAATCGCCTCTCAATTTTGAGAGACTTTCAATTTTTACAGTGGACCCTTAATTTTATCGATTTTTAAGATTTATTATTGAGAGTTTCGAAAAGTAAAATCTGATTTTAATATTCTTAACCACTATACACAGAGGTATTGATATTTGGTATCATTACTATGGAAATGATATAACTCCACAGAATATTACTGAGAATGCAAAATGGACAAAATCAGGTAATATTTTTGCAGATAAAGTTTATTTCCATGGTTTAAAATACAATGGAGTTATATCTGTTAGCAGTTCAAATTTATTAATAAATTCTTGTACTTTTTCGAATTGTAGTTCCAACACCAAAGGCGTTTGCATTTATCAAACTTCCGGGGAAAGTATTAACTTAAAAAATTGTTGTTTTAATTGTTCAACAGATGATGATGGAGGCTATCTTTATAACAGTTTAAATGACGCAAACAGAAATATCATGATTGAAAGTTCTGTTAGTAATACGTATGCAAATAGTGACTGCTCAATTTGGTTTCAACTTGGTAAAATTGAAGTGAATTCTGTAAACAATTCTTTTAATTATGCAGTGATGAATGCGTTTTGCGTTGTCTTCGGAACTTATTCTACTGCAAATTTCACTTTCTGTGATATTTATAATAATTCTAGCCCTGGACAAGGGATATTTTGGGGTGGACCCTTTGAGATGAAATTTTGTCAATATGTCCAAAATTATCAATGTGCTGATATTGATGCACTGCTAACGAGAGGCACCGGAAAAGTTGAATCTTCGATTTTTTTATCAAATATATGCTATAAATTGTTTCAGAATAGCAACATAAAAGCATACAATTGCTTCATGAAAAATAATACAGAAATTTCTAAATCCCCTGGAAGTATTCTATCTACTGTAAATTTAATTCCTTTCCGATTTGATAAGTTTATTGAAAACTGTAGTTATTTAAATAATCCTTCATGTATATTTCTGAATCATCTTTCTTTGAATGATTTATTTAAAATGTTTCATCTGTATTCTTAAATAATAATTGTTTACGAATTATCAATTTTTGAGGTTTTTCGCATCGTTTTCAATTAAGTGGAAATTAAGGATTATCCATTCAAACATTATTTTATGTTCATATTTTTTTTTCTGACTTGTATATTCAATAAACTGATTTTCATAAAGCGTTTTATTAAGATGAATGCTTTCTATATCATAATACTCTCATAATATTATAAAATGTGCAAAGAACACTTTTCTAATTAGCTTCGGAAGTTTATGCTTCATCAAACAAAAGCATTTGGTGTTTGAAATGTATGAAAGAAGATTTTGAGATAACTTATTTAAAATTCGTCATAATTTGTCATACTAACACTGATTAATTTCAATTTCTTATTTGAATATAACATATTTCTAATCTTTGGAAATACAAACAAATTATATTTCAAAACATCATATAAGACTAATACCATATTTTTATCTATCCATGAATAATACTACACACAATTAACATATCAAATTTATGCATTCGATAATTTAGAATATTTTAAAATTAGATCCCGAATGTTTGCTGTATATATTGTCATTCGGAAAATTCGAGTTAAAATCTTACAGATGATTTCTAGTAAAATAATTTGTTTTTGTAACATAAAATGAATTCTATGGATCAATTTGCTCTATTAACATACTGGAATTCAAACAAACAATTGCTTAAAAAATTCATATATATTGAGTATTATATAATTCAATATAAATATAATGTGGGGAAAAATTGTATGTTGTTTAAAACAAATTTCTCGTAAGAATTGTAAATATTGGAGGAAATTTGTTTTGTCTTTTATTTAGTTTTTCTCGTTTTCTTTCCATTTCATTTTGTGTATAGTTTTCAAATGTTACATTTATAAGTTCATATTTAGAAGCAAGACTATATTCATCAACTCCATAAAATTTAAGAAGACAACTTCCAACATTGATGTCGTTTGGAATAGGAATGGAATATCGAATTTCATGAGGAGAATCATCATTAAGACTGGTGTTGACAATGTTGCCAAGTGTGTTGTTAAAAATATGAAAGATTCGAATATAATTTTTTCCGTCTTTGTCTGAAACTGAAAGATAGAATTCAAGAGTCTGACATCGATTGATGTAAACAGGGAATGTTGGTTTTTGTATAATTTTAATTAATGGAGGATTGAATGCAAATGAAAATGATTTAGTAAATGAAACACATTTATCAGTTTTGTCACAACATACAATAATAAGATGATGAATACCGCGTGAAAGATTGTTTGGAATAGAAATATCGATGTTGAATGAATGATTATTTGAATCGGGAATAGAAATTGATTTTGATGTTTCATTGTTTGGATATCCTTCAATAAATGATTTAACAGTGACAAAATCATCACAATCAAGATCAGAAACAAATCCAGAAACTGAAATATGATTGTCAACATTGTGATAATATGTTTCTTTCATTGTATCCGAAACAATTAGAACTGGATAGTTTCGAAAGAAGTCGAAATATTGAGATTTTCGTTCTGTACTTTCTTGAGTATTTGTTGTTGTTGCCCAAACTCTAACTGGATAAAAACCATCATTTACAATAGAATCTGGAATTAAGCAATAACCTGAAAATGCAAATGTATGTGTTTCTGGGTTCTTAATTGGATTTCCTTCGAATGTACTATTGATATCTCCAATACTACAATAAATAGAAAAATCTTCTGAATAAATTCCACTTCCACTGACTTTGATACTTTTATCAATAGTTTTGTTGTATTGGCTTCGTTCAAGAATTGATAATTCAAGTGTAAATGGATATAAATATTCAAATTCAACTAAAACTATATTAGATTCAAATGTTTTATCATCTGAAAACTTAGAATAAATTGTGTGATTTCCGTTTGATAATCCATTTGGGATGTCGATTGAATATTCATATGTTGAAGATCCACTTCCTTTATTAACTTGAGTTGATGAATAATTGTCAATCCAAATTTCAAGGGTAAATGATTCTTCTTTATTTCGATCAAATAAAACTGTTACGATAATGCTTGTGTCGTCATTTAATTTGTATTTGTTTTTTTCTGTTGTAATGTTCATCAAATAATACAATGGATAATCTGCAAAACAAAGTGCTGTAGATATATGTGCATTTTCAATATTAAGTGAATCAGTTGTTGAAATATCAAAATTTCCAAGTCCTAATTCTGATTCAGAACAATCATTATTTGATGGAATGAAACAAGAAGAAACTGTAATTGAAGCACCACTACCTGCATAAAATAGAGATTTTCCTTTGTTGTTTGATATAATACATTCTGTAATAAAAAGTTTAACATTTGACAATGCAGAAATAACTCAATTTGAATATGTTGATATCATTGAACATTCATTTGAAATAATGTTGCAATGGTTGATTTGAATTCCATTTCGATAATTATATAAACATTTTGCTTGAGTACCATTGTTTTTAATAAATGTTGAATATGAAATAGTTGCATTTAAATCTCTATTTCCTGAAATCCAGTAGACTGAATTATATAATGCTTGTGAATTAGAAATATTTACATTTCGAACAATATTTTCACCATATTCATGACGAATTGGACCTGTATTTCCATCACTTCCAGTGATAGTTGATTCAATTAAGTAATTTTTATATGATTTATCTTCTGTTGCTGAAATATATGAATGCGGGTAATTATAATTTGATTTAAGGAACATGTTGATACTGCAAATTCGATATTGAACAGTTTGACCTTGGTATTGGTAAATGTTGCCACCATATGAATCAGAGCCATGATTGGAATTAAAAACACTGTTTGAGATAAGAAGTCGATTGCTGTCGTTACCAATGAGTTTAATAAGTTGTGTGTTGTGATTTGTAAATAAAACTTCGTGAACATGAAAATTTCCTGCTTGATCAACAAGGACTGTATCTGTTGTATGATCTTTTGGATTATATCCATTGAAAAACTGATTCCATAAATCATTTGCCGAAGAATGAATTCATTGAACAAAAAATTTCAAAATGAAAACAAAATTATTGAGTTATTTTGAAGCTCATTTAACAAGTTTGATTATAAAGATTTTCATTTTATCATCAGAAAAATCCGAAAAAAAAGTTATAAAAATGTTTTGTTTTTCTTTTTTGTTAGCATTGGTAAGGTCAGAGATTAGTTCGATACCAATAAATAACTTCTATGGTTCAATTTATTGCAGTAACACAACAATTAAAGACCTTGAATTCAAACCAACTCTTTCTAACAAAAATCAACCATTTGGACAAGACATTTCGAAAATCCCATTAACACGATTAGAATATACAAACGATACACTTCGAGATTACGATCCAGTTAATGAAAACTTTGATTATTTAAACTTAAATTTTTCAGATACAGTTGTTTTCAATCCTGTTGAGATGCGAAACATTGAAATTGACACATATTCACCGACAAACTATACAATTCATATTGAAAACGTTCTCGAAAAGGAATCTATCAAGATTTCACGAGTTTTTACAAATTGTCCATTTATCTTCATTGAAAAAACGAAATCAAGTACAATCAAACCAAGCTAAATATTTTCATTTACATTTAATATCCTTTGTTCACGGGAAGGCCATTTTTCAGGAATCATTTTTGTTGTTTCAGATCATGGAACATTTCCATATTACATTGACTTCATTTGCAACCTTATTCCAGTTATTCATACCGAATCACAACATATTTATCAACAAATCAATCAACCTTTCACATTTCGATTAAATTACACAGGAACTATCGCAACATCACTTATTTACGATTCTAGTATCTTTGATCCATCACAAACAACTCTTTCATTTACATCAATTCTTTTACATCCAAATGAATTAAAACTTGGAACATATTTAACATTTCTTTACATTAAATCATATACATTCACATGCATTGTTCCAATCTATCTTCATATTGTTGATTATTCTATTATTATTTTTGGCGATTTCTTTTTTGGTTCCGGATATCCCGATTTACAATACGTTCAAGTCATCAACCTTGAAAACAATACACTTAATGTTACCTCTATCCAATCATTCGAAAGCAAACTGATCGTCAACCTTACAGATTGGAAAAATAATTTAGTTCCACCATTTTCCACTAGAACAGTTGCTTACGTTGCTCTAGGAGCTCTAAAAAATACATCATGGAATTATATTAAGTCAGGAATCGAAATGGAATATGCTTTGACGATAAATAATATTCAATACAACAAAACAGTGATTTTCCGCAAATTCGGAGACATTGCGAAATGCGCTTATTATACTCCACACGGTAACGATCCAACAACAGTCGCGCATGTCTCTATTTCCAATTTTCACCCTGATCCTTTGATGATTCTTTCTGCGACGGTCGAATCCCCATATTTCTCCGTAAAAGAATTTTTCCCTCAAGTGGTCGGCAACAAAAACTACTCGGAAGAATTTTTCATTACGTTAAACAAAAATTTCGACATTTTAGAACAACAACTTTACTTAATTGTCCAAACAAACGCTTCCAGGCACAAGTTTCCCATCATACGACGTCCAATGCCTATCGAAATTGCCTCAAATACCTTAAATGTCTCGATTGACTCACATACCAATTTAATTAAGTTCGACAGCGTCTTCAATATGTCATCGAGGACATTGTCGTTCAGAGTAAAGAACAATAACCACGCCAGAATATTTTTAAAGAACGTATTTACTAGATTTCCCTGTATTTTAGTAGAAAGAATCGATCCCTACTCAGATGGAGCCATCGAACCATTCCAGACATTAATTGTATGGGTGAGAATCACTTTCGTGGCCTTTTGCAACACAAATACAACAATTACTTTCAATTTCGAACACAAGAACGTTTCAATTGGCCTATTATACAATCTACTCCCAGGAACAATGAAATTGGACATAGCTTTACGTAACAATTTCATTATCGGAGCAGATTATGAAGGATATATCACTGTAAAGTCAGAATTTGCAGACAAATTACGTATTATCGATATCCAAGCAAACTACCCTCAAGTAATACCTCATAAAATGCCGCTTGTAATTACAAATTACTCAAATTTTGTTATTGCAACGTATAATATCTCTCTTGACGAGAATTTCCCACTTACAGCTGGATTTTTCAATATACTGAGAGAGAATGATACATTCGAAACCCAGAAAAAGCGTTGGAAAGAGCTTTGGACAGGAAATTTCGTATTTCCAATTGAAATCAAGCTCAGACTTGAAAACGGCTTCTATTTCATGGCCACCATGGACGGTAATATCTCGCACGCGGCCTTTCCGCAGGGAATTATCGATTTCGGAACAATTCATGCGGATGAAATCTTCTGTAAGTCGATAAATCTACATAATCCGTTCACCAGGCCAATTGTCTTCACATTTCACGATATTGTGAATGAAACGAACCCGAAATTCAACATAAAACACCGAAAAATTATTTCTATTGACAGCCACGAGACGAAGGAGTTCATGCTGACGTTCGAGGGTACTGTTCCCGGCAAGTACAACCTGGAAATACCGGTCATGACCAACTGTACACCTCCTTTTACGATAATAATTTCGGCGAATGTAGAATATCCTCGAGTTCGGTTCAGTAATGAAGATCACAACATGGTAACCAGTATAGAATTTATTGTTGGTGACGATCAGCAGTACATGTTGAATAAATGGACGAAATGCGTTTATGTGACTAATAATGCGTTCTCTCCTATCTCGATGAATAACTTGTACATCACTCCCAACACGTTCATTTCATTCCGAGCCAATAAAACCAGTTTGCAGCCTTACCAGACGACATCTGTCTGTTTCGACTTCTCATTGTGGCTTTTCGACTCGGACAAGACCGAAGGAAACATTTCTTTCACGGTCCTCGCCCAGCATTACTTGTATACGCTCCCAATTTACGTTAAAATTAGTGATAAAGCCGTAAAACAAGTAAATGAAGCAGTAAACAAGACGATGAAGGTTATTTCGACGATAGGACTGATGTCACCTTTTGTGTCACTTTTGATAAGTATTACTGTATTTATTTGGTTCCGAAAAGACATGAAATGGCGCGAGAGGAGAGTACATAGAGCTGCCAAACAATACAGTGTTAAAGAGTACACAACTGCTGAAGTTCAGAAAGATGATTTGACTTCAAATCCAAAGACTCAGTGGGTGAAGAGAAGAAACTGGACTCCGAAGTCTGCAAATGACGCAACAATTGGACTTATGGCACAACTTATACAATAATTTTTTTGTTTGTTATTTATATTTTGTTATTTTATGATATAAATATTTTTTAGTTTTTCTTCATAATGAAATAGTTTTTTCGACCAAACTGTTTATATTTATTTGTATATGTTTGCCTTCAACTATTCATCTGGTCTTTAATGCATATGAGAGAGAGAGATTTTAGCTTCATATAATGATGAATATCTCATTCAAAATTGAAGAATTAGCGAGATCTTTCTCTGATATCACGCATATATCATGTTTCAAATGCATTAGGCATATATGTGTTGATATCATTTCTTAGTAATATATAATATCAACTGAGAAAAATGGTTTTGAGATTTAGCCTTAAATTCCCAATTGATCGAAATTGAGAGTGTGTCAAACCGATTACAGTCCAATTTCTGAGGAAAAAAATAGTGAAATGTAAGGAATTATCGCATATAGTTTTCCGCCTTAGATCTTTGCCCCATGATTTTACACATATTATAAAACAATAAAATCAATTTGTTTCTCAATAGTATGATTTAGATTAAGATCAAATTATAAAAATTGATAAATTCAAAAGAATGCATGGTAAGTTTTTACTCTCTAGAATATATCAATTGTACTCATGAGCTGTATAGTATTCGAATTATCCTTATTCCAAATCAATGTTCAACAAAAGGAATTGAAATAGTTTTTATAGTAAACCAGCCCCATGAGTCTGAGATTGGGCAAAGAATAGTGTTCTTTCTCATTGTGTCCACTAATCTTAAAAGCTAAGAGTAAGTGTCAAAAAATTTATGCAGGTCCCAAAAGAAGAGGAAGAATTTTTAAGAGTTGTTGTTATAGGGGACTCAGCTGTTGGCAAAACATCTATCATTTCGAAACTAGTATGCGGCGAATTCTCTGAATCAGAAAAAACTACAGTTGGCGCGATGTTTGTGTTATATACTATAAAATTAGACGAAGGCGATGTTCAAATACAGTTATGGGATACAGCTGGACAAGAAAGGTTTAGATCTCTAGGTCCACTTTATTATAGAAATGCAAAATGCGGATTAATTGTATTCGATTTTACTAAAATAGACACATTTTTAAATTTAGATACATGGATTAATGCATTTACTTCGGTGGCAGGATCCGATGTCTCTGTTGTAATTGTAAGAAATAAATTTGATTTAGTTTCAGATAGACAAGTTTCAGATTTAGATATACAAGCTTTCCTCGAAACACATAACTACCCATTCTTTGCTACTTCAGCCACAGATAATGAAAGTATCCAACAGCTTTTCAAGCGAGTTGGTTTAGAATTATACAAAAAGAGAGTATCACTCATGAATGCTAATGAACTTAATTCAAAATTACAAGAAAAAACAAAATATTCTTGTTGTTAGATATATGTTATTTTTGTTTTGTTATAACTATGTAAATAGTTCTATTTAATACTATACTTGTGATTTAAAGTTAATTCAGTAAAATGATTTTAATTTTTTGTGATTTGTGTTTTCAAGCTTAAATATAATAAAGATATAACAAGTAATAAAATGTAACTATACTCTTATGTTTAAAAATAAAGATTAAATGAAATATAATAAAATTTACAAACAAAATAAGATTCTAAAGGAGCTTGAGGGCAATAGGTGATGAACCAGGACTGCTATATTCTTCAAGATCGTCAAGGTAACTGCTGTTCAAGTCAAATTTGATTGAATGATCAATCAACCACTTTGGTTGTGCAAAAACAAGGTTATTCTTCTTTTCCGCATCGAGAGGCTTAAATATATGAAATTGAATCTCTTCAATATCACTAATATACATTATCGCTGCGTTATTTCCTTTTCCACAGTAGTCTGTATTACTAAATATTGCAGTACAGATATTGTAACCTTGAAATGGATAATTGTATCCAGAATTACAAAACTCATGAGATCTAATTAGTCTACTCAGGTTATTTCTATGAAGAAAGGCCTTCAATGCACTTTCATTAAAGAAACATTCCAATCCTCTATTATTTGCCACAAAATTTGGACAGTTATCCAATGGATCACTCCAAAGGATATCACAAGGTATGGTTTGAGAAGAAATCTCTGTTGGTTTTTGTAGAAGTGCTAAGTCACTTATATAATTCATCTCTTTTGATATGCCACCATGAACACAAAATATGGAATCTGCAATAATTGCAGCTAAAGGTAGTTTGTAGAATAAGCGAACGAAGTTTCCGAACAATGTTAAGCTATATGAGCTTTGAATCTCATAGAAAAATCCGTAGTTCATTGATACTTTCCTTGTTTCATGATTGCCTCTGAGCAAGTAGATATGATTAGGGTAAAGAATCTTCAAAGATATTAAATATGCAAGTACTTCAACTCCGTTATTGCCTCGGTCTACATAGTCACCAAGGAAAAGGTATTTAGAATCTGGAGGATAGCCAGATATCTCAAAAATTCTTAATAGATCAACGATGTTTCCATGTATATCACCAACTACATTAATATCAGATGGTAAAGTAAGAACTATTGACTCGCTGTTGAAGATAGGAATTACGGTGTCTATTAATTTCTCAAGATCTGATGATGAAAATATCTCTTTAAACTTACTTATATCTCTTATATAATATATAATCGACTGAATTATCCTCTGTGGCAGAGAATCATCCTGTTTCATCCAATTATATAATAATTCTAAACGAGCATGAGGAATTTCCTCAGTGTTTTCAATCAAAATTTCCCATTTATTGGATTTTTAATAAGATAAATCAAATTGAACAAGCATTACAGGCATTTTGGCAAAATATCAAATCAAAATACAATGAAAAACTAAATCTCAAATTTGAGATTTGAAAATAGATTGGTGTAAACTAATAAAATTAATATTTACATCGAAACATATCGGAAATTCTTTGAAATTTTGCATTAAATAATTGGATAATTTGAGATGTATTACAATATTGATCAAAAACTCATCTGTTTAAGAATAGATTGGAACCTATTAATAGAAACCTCCATATTAGAATGGTTTCATCATAATAGACAAAATGAAAGTTAATTCATCAAAATTTTGCTTTTAATATTGTTTTCAGATGAGCTCAATGAATAAATATGTTACTATTACATATAAATATTATAGTGAAACGTCATGATGTGATTGATGTCTCTCAACAACAAGTATTTCAGATTCAAATTTGATAAGATGTGACAAAAGAAGATGAAGATTTCTTCATTCAAACTCTTATCTGTGATAATTTTACTCGATGTGTTGTAAACAGAAATTCATCAAAAGTGACACCTCAGAAAAGCTAAAATATTGAATTTTTGGAACTTTTGATAGAGCACGTTTTTAAATATTAATTAAAGTAAATGTATATTTTGTAAAGATTCTTTTTAATAAAAAAATAAAATTTTGAAGAAGAACACAAAATCTTCTGAAAAATAATATCACATAAACTCATATATATTTTCTATATATATAACTATTTTATATAAAAATCAAATTCAATGATCTTAAAAGCGAAGGATAAACCTCAAAATTTACGAATATAATGAGTGGGAATATAATGCTTATCTATCATAAAACCATATGAAATATCAATTTTTGCTTTACGCCTAATTTTTGACGACAATTAGCAAAAAATGTTAAATGTTAACACTCAGTCCATTTGAATATGAAAAATAAAATTGACTTTGATTAAATGTTTTTATTTATCATGCAATTCTTCTTGCGACCAAAGATTTGAATAAAAGTTCAAAAAATAAGATAGCTTAAAAAATAATATACGGTAGTGTTTACTAATAGATGAATAGTATATAAATTCTATTAAAATGGATTTGATCAAAAAAAATATAAAACCAAAAATAATTGTTATAATTTAAATGAAGAAGTAATTTAAAACGATTTTATTTATGATCAAATTTTATATATTTTTTTGGATCAAATCCATTTTAATAGAATTTATATACTATTCATCTATTAGTAAACACTACCGTATATTATTTTTTAAGCTATCTTATTTTTTGAACTTTTATTCAAATCTTTGGTCGCAAGAAGAATTGCATGATAAATAAAAACATTTAATCAAAGTCAATTTTATTTTTCATATTCAAATGGATGAGTGTTAACATTTAACAGTTTTTTGCTAATTGTCGTCAAAAATTAGGCGTAAAGCAAAAATTGATATTTCATATGGTTTTATGATAGATAAGCATTATATTCCCACTCATTATATTCGTAAATTTTGAGGTTTATCCTTCGCTTTTAAGATCATTGAATTTGATTTTTTATATAAAATAGTTATATATTAGAAAATAATATGAGTTTATGTGATATTATTTTTCAGAAGATTTCATTCTATATGCCTATGAAAAGTACTCTCAAAACTAACTTTTTCCTAATTATAATTAAATCTAGAATATTGTATTATGCTTAGTATTATTTCATTTTTCTCATTCAATTTAGAATTTACAAATGTCAAAAAATTGAGAGCTGTTACTTTTGATGAATTTCTGTTTATTACAGATGAAGTTATCAATGTGTTTCAATTTCACATGGCTAAATATAAAAAAAAGTTGAGAAAAAATTAATTCAGAGCTGACCAGCCAAAACTGACAAACCATGGAAGAGAAGGAAGTTGGAAATCATTTTATCTCCACTTACTACAACACTCTTGCATTCCAACCAGAAGAAATTGTCAAGTTCTATGATAGTGAAGCAACAATTTGGCGTTCAACGATGGAATCTCCCATCGGAAAGAAATTAGCTGATGCCAACGACGATTTACTGATCAAGATTCCAACAGGCTGCGAAGTTGTTGTCACAGGTTACAGTGTTCTTCCTTTGAACGGTCAAATTTTAGTAAATACAAATGGTTTCATCTTAAATGACAATGATACAGAGTTATTCAGCCAGTCATTTGTTCTTGTTGAAAAATCAAAGCGTTACTTCATTATTGCTGATTCATTTTCAAAGAACAACGCCCAGCAAGCAGTAAATACAACAGCTCAGACATTTGTTGCCCAGAAAGTAGAAAAACCAAAGAGACAGAATAAGCCTAACCAGTATAACAAATAAAAATTTTATTAGCGAATTTTGGCATTATTTGATGATTTCAAAATTTCAGTAAACTTTATTTTTGTCAAGATTATATTACGAAATATCTTTATTATTTTACCTACTGAGTAATAAATCCAAGATTTGATAAAATTTTCAAAAAATCTTCATTTTCATATAAATTATAATGAGCAAATCTATATACTTACCTCAAGCAAATTAAAATATCTACCAATCAATTCAAAATTCCTTGATATTGAAATTTTATTTCTAATTTTTTCATTTTTTGATATGATGTCAGTTGAGGATAGTGATTTTACAAGAATTTAAAACTATAGGTCTTATGTGAAATGCATTTTTGAAGAAATGTTTTTTGAATACGATTTTTCTATTGATTTTACGAGCTTTTGGTAAGTAAAAATGATTGTTTTGTTTGTTTCACAAGTTATTCAAAGCAAATCTCTAATTGGCAGATCATTACGATTTCTCTTTTTTTGTTTCACTCTTTGAATTTTCAAAATTTCAATTTTTCAAAGGTGACAGATTTTGAAGTCCTCAATTTTTGATCATTTCTCGTTATCATTGAATGGAGTTTTCAATGAAGAACCTCCGTTTCCACTGCTAATAGATCAGCGAGACTTCATTATTGCACAGATTCCAGGTTTCGAAAAAATCGATTATTTTTTAATTGATCTTCTCAGAAGGGATTCACCAGAAATGCGTCTGATAATTGAAATATACTGTTGGCAGCGAGACTTCCTCTCCCACATAAAATTTGCAAGAACTGAAATAGTTGAAAAAGTTTCTCCGAGATACGACTATATGAAAATGAAATTATCACCAATTTTACAGAGTTTAGAATCACTACACATTTTACTATTCAATTCTCTATCAAGAATTCTTTCAAACCCAATAACAGAATATTATCCTTTTTTTAACGAAATAATTCATTCAGTTAACGTTATACCTGTTCACCAGCAATACATAAACCTTTTTATTGACCTCGAACCCCTTATTCAGAACTTTTCTCTCAATAATCCTGATATAACTTTAGATGGCCGACCCGCAATTACTGTTTTACGTGAACCATTCAACTTTGTATCCCAAATGTCTGTATTTATGAAAAAAGCTCTTATGTTTGTCCCATCAAATCGAAGAAATGAACTTGCTCAGTATTCCACGAATTGCAGGAACATATTGATGTCAGCGGACTCTGTACCACTACTGGAAGGTATATCTAGAAACTTCCTTATCGAGCCATTTCCTATTGTTGAACCAGGAAGAAGATTCATTAAACAGGGAAACTGTCTCAAGCATTGCAGAAAAGATGTTACAGAACGTGTTCTTATACTATTCTCGGACTTCCTAGTATACGCGCAGCCTCATGGAGGCAAATGGCTGGCTCCTGCTGCATATGATTTGACAAGAATGAGGGTTCAAAAGCCATTTACAGATATGTTTTGTATATCTGCCTATACACCTAAGAAATCCTTCATTCTTGAGTTCAAAACTGATGAAGAAGCAAATAATTGGTTGGTCACCATACAAAACGCCATAGATACGGCCAACTTCGGTGAAACAATTGAGTTTGATGCAGCTCCAATCTGGATGCCAGACAATTACTCTCAAAAATGCGTAATTTGTCACCAAGAACACACATTCTTCGTCAGACGTCACCATTGTCGCGCATGTGGCATCGTTGCATGCGCAAACTGCATGAAATACAAGGCTATTGTTAAAGGAATTTCAAACTCTCCTGTAAGAGTTTGCGTGAATTGTTATAAGAAACTGACAAATAACAAAACAAGCGATAATTGATTTTGTCACTTGTTTTATTTATATCTATCTATTTTTTATATTCATCCTAGCTTTTTTTAAAAAAAAATTTATATGTATAATTTAAAATTTTCGAATTTAATATACTGAATAATTACCCCTTTTTGAGGCCAATATGCCATGTATATTCTAATCATTGACTAGTCCAAATTTATAAACTTTTTTTGAGTAGTTTATCTATCGTCGCCAGTGCGCACTTATCATAAGTGTGGTGTCACCATTTCTAGCCTTAAAAAAGGACTCGTGTATGAGGATTGAGATATATGCTTCTAAATAGAAATATATACAAATATGGACTATAATGTATATAAAATGAAATTATGAAGAATTTTTATTGAACAATGTTAGAATACAAGCTATCCAAGAATGTAGGAACAAAGAACGTAACAAAGAATAAGAATCAATATGTGTTTGGTTATCCATGTCAAGATAATCAATATGATTGTAGTCCCTATACAGTGTATCTTAAACCAGGTTCATATCTTTTCGAAACATGGGGCTCAAGAGGTGATTTTCAAAATTGGTCTGAAAACCCATCGATCCCTGGATTTGGCGGATATACTTCAGGAATGCTAACTATAGAAAATCCACTTATTGTTTACCTATATATAGGTTCAATTTCTTTTTTCAATTCGATCTTGGAGTATACAGGAAAACTGTACCTATTTGGCGGCGGATCATCTGATGTCCGTCTGTATGCTAATGAATCATTTGATTGGTACAATCCTCTCTCACTCCGTTCAAGAATAATGGTTTCAGGTGGCGGAGGAAGTGCAGAATGGCAAGGGTCAGCAGGAGGTCATGCCGGTGGACTTATTGGTGGCACAGGACAATCAGATTGTTCAATGGCAGGATATTCATGTTCAGAATCACGATCCGGAGGTGGAACACAAACTTCAGGAGGATCTGCTGCACCAACTGTTGTTTCTCCAACCAACAAGTTGTTGACTGGATATCCAGGATTATTTGGAATGTCACAATTAGACTATAGTTCAAATGATATGGGAGGAATTGGAGGAAATGGATATTATAGTGGTGCATCTGTGAATTATACAGGTTCTGGTGGTGGAGGAAGTTCTTTCATCTCAGGATATGAAGGATGTATTGCTCTGAATAGTTCGATCGATGAAACACCAAGTCCAACAAATTCTCCAATCCACTATTCAGGCATTTTCTTCACAAATCCAATCATGATCGAAGGCAATAAGAACATGCCTCTTTATTATAGTCCCACATCACGTGGCATTGGCAACAAAGGTCGAGGTGCCATTCGCATCACAATTCTATTATCCAAAGCATGTTCTTGTTATAATTATTGTTTGTATTCTCAATTTCGATATATTTTATATCTTGGATTTATTGATTGCTTATAAAAAAGCTAATATAATTAATGTGAAATATGCATAATGAGAACTATAATTTTCTGACATCCTCTCAATTATATATATTCTTTGCTTGATGGCCCGATTTTCTAATGCAAAGAGTTAACTCTTTTCAATGTGTATGCTTTTTATACTATTTTGTAATTAGAATGACGAGAAACCAAGATGAAGTATTATTTGAAATGACACATTTGACTATAATTCAACGAATATAAGAGAAAATTCCATATTCAAAATATTTTTCACACTTTTTCTGAGGATCTGCAATCCGATAAAAAATGTGAAAACATATTTTATAAGCCCGTAAAAAGTATCAAACCTATTGTTATATATACTAATTTTGACAAATATATAAATTATTATGATTACAACAAATAAAAACAAATTACCCCAATGAGAAAAATAATTGAGCATTCCATAACTATTTGCATAAATATAAAAAATTTACATGATTATTATAACTTGAATCATCAGCAACGATGATGAAAATATATTTGTATAGAATAAGCAATTCCGTGTTATTATATTACCAATACAATTTTTTACAGATTGTATGGAAAGCTTTGCGTTAGTGAACAAATTTTCCAAGAATAACTTACTCGTATTTTCAACTTTGATTCCGCAATTCAATTTTGAACATCCTTTGAAAGCATTTGCTCCGACATCTTTTACGCATATTGGTATATTAATCCATGTCAAACTAGAACAGCTTTCAAATGCACTTGTAGAAATATACGAAATTGAATCCGAAGGAATAAATATTGAAACTAAATTTGTACATGAAAGGAAGGCTCCTTCATTAATGAAGCGAGTATCACCAGGTAGTGAGAATGAGGTTACTTCAGATGCAGGTGGGAATAGAACTAAAGAATCTAGATTATATGTAAATAGAGCTCCAGTCATAACTCTATAACTGTTTGAAAAGCTACTTATTTTTTTGAGCCTCATACATCCTCTGAATGCTCCAATTCCAATACTTGTCAAAGCGCTATTTTCTGGGATATTGATCTCTTCTAAATAAAGACAGTCTGCAAATGAATCTATTCCTATTGATGTTAATGTCTGGGGAAATGTGATATTAGTAACTCCACTATTTCTAACAGCCATATCAGAAATTTTCTTGAGATTCAGTGGGAGTATAAGTATTGAAAGGGAAGCAGTATCTTGGATAGATTTTAAACCGAGATTATCAAAATTTACACATTTTGATAAATCAAACTTTTTTACAATAGTTTCTGAGAAAGATTCAACTCCAATAAACTTCAGTGAATTTCCATTTATTACTACACTTTCTAGTTTTGTACATTTTTTAAATGCATAATCATTAATTCTTGTAAGTGTAGAAGGGAGTTCAATATTCAATAAATTTGTGCATGCTGAAAAAGTCCATTCAAAAATTTCTGGAATAGATGATGATAGGGTTATGGACTTAAGATTGTAACATCCATAAAATGCATGTGATCCCAAATATTGAGCTTTATTAATTGTGATGCTTTCAAGTCTAACACAGTTAAAAAATGCGTGTGGTTCAATTGTCACTATAGTGGAAGGTAGATCCACAAATTGAAGATATGCAATTGCTGAATGCAGCATTTTTTATTGATTTCAACATTGAATCACCCGGAAATGTTATTTTTGATATTTTATCTCTTCCATCAAATACAGAACTTGTTATTGTTTGTATCGAGTTTAATATTACAAATTCTTTTTCAACATTCTCTCCTATATATCCATTAATCGTTTGATTACTTTTATCAATAATTAAGAGTTGGGAATCAATATATAAATTGGAATTAGGGCCAAATTTTAATTTAGTAGTTTTTGGAAATGCATTTCCGGCAAGATAAGTAATATTATCTGGTAGTGTGACTTCAGAAAGTTTCCAACATCTAACAAAGCAACTTGTTTCTATTCTTTTAATAGAATCTGGAAAATTTATTGAAGTTATTAATGCCTCTTGAAAAGTATATGCGTCTAAAATCGTAAGGCTTTCAGAAAGTCTTACCGAAGCAAGATTCGGGCATGAAGCAAAAGCATTGTATCCTATACTGGTAACAGAATTCGGAATAAAAACATCTTGAATTTTCGACTTATAGAAAGCATAAGCTCCAATTTCTTTGAGTGAATCTGGAAACTGGACATGAGAAATCGATGTGCTGCCAAATAATGCATACTCAATTCTATTAACACCATTTGGAAAAACTGCTGTTCCTGTCATTCTTAATGGGTATCCAAGTGAAATTGAACCATCTATTGTTAAGATCATATTATTTTCAATTTTGAAGTTATTATTTCCTGAACTTACTGTTATACTATCAAGAAAGGCATATTCGAAGCATCCTTTTTCAATAGTATTTACTAACGCTGGAATATTAAACATTCTAATTAATGTGTTAGCTAACATATTATAACCCAAAGAGGAAATTTTAGAGTTGCTTGGAATGATAATTGTATCCATAAAATAATTATTATAAAAGCATCTTTTAGGTATAGTTGTAAGAGATGCAGGAATTTCAATTCTTGATAGATTAGAATTCATAAAAACATCAATTCCAAGTGTTGTTAGTGATTCTGGAAGTAAGATACTGGATAACGAAGAACATCCATAAAATGCTTGTTCACCTATTGATGTCAGATGATTACATTTAGAAATATCAATATTTTGGATTTTTTCACAAAGGTAAAAAGCAAAATTTTGAATGCTTTGTAGTAGTGAATTTTCTTCAAAAGAAAATGATTTAAGAGTTGATTTACATGCAATAAATGCATAGGAACTTGATGTTTCACCTCTACTATATTTTGTTTGAGCATATTCAATTTACAACCATTAATGGAAGAATGTTGTTTTCTTCAACAATTATTCAATAGTTTGCTTTGCATTCTAATTTAATTATTCAAATACTAGTTTAAGGTGGCCTTTTGCGCTGAATCATATTTATTAACAAAGAATTGTGGGGTAATTTTGGTAAACATTTTAGTTAATAGTATTCCATGGCTTAATATGTTTACAATTAGTTCACTCATAGACACCAAAATTAACTCATTCCAGAGCATTAATTATTGAAATTCTTTCAAGTGCGGAAATTAAAAACAGCTGTTTGAGTACTTTCTGAAACTCTGTTCGTCATTGTACACTAAATTTTTTTTGCCTATTTTTTTAACCAATAAAAAACTTTGCATTTGTTAAACATTAGAAATAAGATTTGGAATAATTACTTTTATTAATGATTATGATTATATGATTTCAACGGCATATATAAGATTTAGATAACCAAAGCCTTTAATTGACATTTGTTTCATGTGAACGAAGGATTCTAACCAATTTTTTATATTTATTTTGTGATGCAATATTAAGAGGTGTCTTCCCATTTCTGTCTTTTTCGTTGATATTTGCACCATGTGAAATAATAAGTTTGACTATTTCTATATTATTATTTATTGCTGCGCAATGAAGAGCGGTTTCTCCATTCTCATTTTTTTCATTGATATTTGCACCATGCGAAATAAGGAGCTCAACTATTTCTTTACTATTATTATATCTTGCTGCAATATGAAGAGCGGTTTCTCCATATTTATCTTTTTCATTGATATTTACACCATGTGAAATAAGGAGCTCAACTATTTCTTTACTATTATTATATCTTGCTGCAATATGAAGAGCGGTTTCTCCATATTTATCTTTTTCATTGATATTTACACCATGTGAAATAAGGAGTTCAGCTGTTTTTTCACTATTGTTATATGCTGTTTGATGAAGAGTGGTTTCTCCATTCTCATTTTTTCATTGATATTTACACCTTGTGAAATAAGGAGTTCAGCTGTTTTTTCACAATTATTATATGCTGCAATATGAAGAGCGGTTTCTCCATTCTCATTTTTTTCATTGATATTTACACCTTGTGAAATAAGGAGTTCATCTGTTTTTTCACAATTATTATATGCTGCAATATGAAGAGCGGTTTTTCCATCCTTATCTTTTTCATGGATATTTGCACCATGTGAAATAAGGAATTCTGCTGCTTCTTTACTATTTTTATTTGCTGCGGAATGAAGGGCGGTTGTACCACGATCATTTTTTCTGTTGATTTCTGCACCGTGTGAAAGAAGAAGTTCAACTAATTCTATATAATTTTTATCTGCTGCAATTTGAAGAATTGTTTTCCCGTAATGATCTATTGCGTTAATATTTGCACCATGTGAAAGAAGGAGTTCAACTAATTCTATACTATTTGCATCTGTGGCAATATGTAGAGCAGTATTTCCATATTTATCTTTTGTGTTGATTTCTGCACCGTGTGAAAGAAGAAACTCTGCTATTTCTATATTATTATATTCTGTGGCAATATGAAGAGCTGTATTTCCATTAATAGATACTTCTCTTTCGTTGACATTTGCACCATGTAAAAGAAGAACTTCTGCCGTTTCTATACTATTATTTTATGCTGCAATATGAAGAGCGGTGTTCAAACTATTATCTTTTTCATTGATATTTGCACAATGTAAAAGAAGATATTCCGCTACTTCACTACAATTATATTGTGCAGCAATATGAAGAGCTGTGTTTCCGCGATTATCTTTTTCATTGATGTTTGCATCATGTGAAAGAAAGTATTTGCAAAAAGATGGAATATTAAAAATCTGTGAATAAACAAAGCATTTGTTTAAATCATTAGTTTGATCGAAATAAACTAAAAATGCATCAAGATTATTATAAAATACACAATCAGAAATATTGATTTCTAAGTTGTACTCATTCATCAAGAATGTAACAAAATCAATGTTGTGTGAAATCATTGCATATTTCATGCATTCTTCATCTGGTATTTGATATTTCAAACATTCACTCATGATTTCTGGATTTCCTCCTAAAAATGATAGTTCTAGACATTCTTGAGTTATTTCTGACCTAAATTTAGTTATTTATAACTTGAAACAATCGACCGCTCCATGGTAACAACATAATTCAAGTAAAGAATAATCATGAATATATGATAATCGTCCAAGTGGATATAATTCGCAAATAAGTTTTTGATCTTTATCAAATTCTTCTCTTTCCATAAAAAAGATGAATCTTTCTAGGTCATTATCCATAATTGCTCTGCAAATTGTATCTTCTGTTTGAATATCTAAATTATTAAATATCCTTTTTTCGAAATCATCATATTTGTTTAATTTAATTCCATATTCTTTATAAAACAGGAAGTTATGTAATGTTGGTAGATTTTCGACGTGTTTTATTTGATAATCATCTGATATGAGTTTCGCAAGTTTCAAATATGACTTTGTATAGCGGTTATTATACTGGATGATATTTAAAATGTCTCTTAAAAGTTTTTTGGGAGGATATTTCTTTGAACCAATCAAAATTGTTTTGATCTTTTCATAAATAGAGTTTAATTCTTGGTCATTTTTCGATTTTAACTGATACAACGCATTATATAAATCAATTTGATGTTTAAGGATATTTCTCAATTCATTGTATTCAGTTGGAGGAATGTCTTGATCAGACATTATTTTTTTTAAGGAGATTCTTCGACCAAACCGTTTGTATCGTCAATTAGTCTGTACCTTTTTCATCTCGAAAACAAAAAATTTCGAAAAAATATAACCTGAGCTCATTTAGACTTATTGTCCAAGTCAATCATTTGTACGAAGGCTAGGGCTCGGATTCTAACTTTTTTGTCGACATTGGATCTCATTGCGGATAAATTATACTGAAACCTTAGCATTTGACCGGAAATAATTCACAGTCATCAAGTATACATGGAAATCTACTAATCTTTGGAGAGTTTGGATAATGTTTTGGCAAAATTATTATTGTAAATTTATATTTTCAAAAAATATCAAATTAATATTAACACTTTTAGAAACGATATGAAAAGCAGACTTTTTTTTCGTACACCCTCTCAATTTTTTTTCCAGTTTTCGTACTCATATGGTATTATTAGTTTATAATAATGATAGAGCTTCCGCTATACAGCAGCATTAAAATATAGCTGTATTGTGATTATCTCCTTGAATTTGAGAGGATTCTAAGTTTAATGTCAAGACAATCTCAATTGAATTTAGCATGAAAGCAATATATTTACTATTATATGATTGTTCATGATAGATCTATATTTGTTTTACATTAATTTACGAAATCTTATCAAAATAGCGTATCACAGGAAGTTGAATAATTATATCTTTTAGAAAACTGTGTTTGATTATGGTTACAATTGGTATTCTTTATTATTATGACTGGTAGCTCTATGCTTGCTCATAAATATGAAATATTATCAAGATTGAAGGATGAATATAATGATATGAGTGTGAATAAGTTGTTAAATGTATTTGTTGCAGACTATATCTCTATATCCCTGCAAGTACGTACTCAGATCTGGAGAATCTCTCACTTTTGTTCCGCAATGTGACATTGGGAACAATGTTTCCGATCTGAGTACATATTTGCAGGGTCTTGCAATTGTACCCTGCAAGTACGTACTCAGATCTGGAGAATCTCTCACTTTTGTTCCGCAATGTGACATTCGATATACGATTCTCGAAAGGAGTTTACATTTGCAATATACTATCATATCACATTGCAATTATAAACCCCTTTCGAAGAAAGCTTATTTTTTCATATCTCAATTTTGCATTAGAAATTTGATCTCGAAAGGAGGTTAAAAGTACAATGTAATACCATATAATATTGCAATCGTAAACTCCTTTCTAAAGTATCTTCTTTATAATATAATTTTATTTTCTCATTCTTCTTTAAACTAGTAAATTTTATTCACAATTTAATCTAAAGCATAAATATTCGTGTTTTGCAGATATGTTTTTTAACTAAAATCGTTTTTTCTTATCAAATTTTATATTTTTTCTAGTCCTTTTCAGTTTTTTGAATTTTTTTTGGAAATTTTTATTAAATTTCAATATAATTTAATTCTATTTCAAAGGTATTATAATTTTATTCATATTTATATTTTTAATTTTTGAATTCATACGATAATTATTCATTCAATTTTTAAATGAATGTTTTGATGGGATGAGCTTACTGATAATAGACTCATCCCATCAAAACATTCCCTTGAAAACTCTGGCCTTCATCGAGGCCAGAGCTCACAATTGATCTCCTCAGAGCCAAGTTCCTCAACGGTCGTCCTCATTAGGTTCGACCCGAGAGGAACTTGACTCTGAATGAAATTCACAAGCTCTGGCCTAAGGAAATGCCAGAGCTTCGCAAACAATCCTCGGGGCCGGTTTCCTCAAAGACCGCTCTGATTCGGGGCGGCCGGAGAGGAATCCAGTCCCGAGAGAGTGCCCATACGAAGCTCTGGCATTTGCAGTGACCAGAGCCTGCAAATACAATCCTCAGGGCCGAATTTGAGGGAGATCGTCAATAATGTTGACGATCTCCTCTCATCTCGGCCCTGAAAGAAAGAAATACACAGGTTCTGGCCTCAGAAAAGGCCAGAGCTTCGCTTACAGTCCCTAGGGCCGTCTTTCCCAAATGCCGCTCTGATCCCGGGCGGCAGGCGAGGAATCTGGCCCTGGGTTACTTACCAAACGAATCTCTGGCCCCAGTAAAGGTAAGAACCTGCAAATACAATTCTCAGGGCCGAGTTTTGACACAAACGTCCATTTGATGGACGTTCTTGTCAAAACTCGACCCTGAAAGATCTACATACATAGGCTCTGGCCTCAGCAGAGACCAGGGCCTCGCTTACAGTCCTCAAGGCCGGATTTCCCAAATGCCGTCCTGATCTAGGGCGGCAGGAGAGGAATCCGACCCTGAGAAACAGCAAACACGAATTTCTGGCCTCAACATGTGTCAGAGCCTGTAATGCTAATCCTCAGGGCCGAGTTTGGGGGAGATCGCCCACATCATTGACGATATCCTCTTATCTCGGCCCTGAAAGACATACAGATACAGGCTCTGACCCTTGTTGAAGTCAGGGCATCTCTATAAAGGGCAGTTTTTCTATGTTCTTTCATTTTCTGAAAGATCATGGTGAAAAAGCTCTCAAATTCTTTATTACTTCAAAATAGCACATGCTTGAGATTATAATTTTGCAGCAAATTTATTGATTGAATGCAAATATTTGATCTCAATATTTCAAACATGCAAATTTAGGGTTTATCTGTTGCAAATAAAATATTTGCTTAACGGAACTCTATTTATAATGAATAAACACTCTTTTTTATATAATAAAATATTTATTTCTTCATCTATGATAATTGAGTAAATTTATAACAATAATTGTACCTACAATAACAAGTACATATCATTAACATATATGATTATCTTCAAAACTCTATTTTAAAAAAGATGCCTAATTGCATATGCAATAAAAATCATGTTTTATAGATTAACACATTGAAATTGTACTTTGCACAAAACATTATGTTTGTACTAGTAAAATCTTTTAAACAATTATAAATAATCAAATATGATATTTGATGTGATATATGTCTAGACCAGAGATTGAAATATGAACACGAGAAAGACGAGTTCTGATCATAGGCAAACATTGGACATCACATACTATGCCCTATAAAAAAGTACGAAAACTGGAAAAAAAATTGAGAGGAGTACGAAAAAAAATTCTGCTTTTCGTATCGACTCACACTTTTATATATACAAAGCAAAATATTTCAATCTTCAATGTTTTTTTCGTAATACAACTTTTTTTCGGGTACTCTAAACAGCAATTGTATACATTTCCTTTTTTCTACTTGCAAACATAATGGTAATTACTAACAAAATAAATTTTCCAATTTTCAACAACTTTTGTTTTTTTGATTAAAATTTTACAAACTAAATGGAATATTGATTAAATTAATAACTTCAAATTGGTCTATGTACCCAATAATTTAATTTATTATAATTGTTTAGTCTAAAATAGTTATTCAATGTTAAGATTGAATCAATATCACACTGAATTGGGTCAAATGCCATTATAACAAATCAGCATGTTCTAGCCCATATATGCAACTTATTCTCCCATAGAATTCCATATATAAACTGTCTGTATGAAGATGTATACAACTTTTTTCGGGTACTCTATATATTCTATTTTTTCCAAATGTAAGTATCAAAAGTTGAAATTTTAAGAAAAGTATCCAAAGCAAATTATTTTGGAGCAATCTTAAAAATCAAATGTTAATATGGATATATTCAGTGTTTTAGATTTACAATTCATTTACTAAAAATCAAAAAATCTTCCATGGAGCGGAGAGATCACTAAAGACCAGCTTCGAAACACTTTAAAATTCATTTATCCGAGGGAAATACTTAGTATCTGAAGGCCGGAGCAGAATCAAAATCTCAAAAGTTGCTAAAAGTTGAATGTATTCGGAAAATGCAAGATATTTGAAAATTTCATGAAAAAGACCTCTTTTCATAAACTTGCATGTATCTAGTGAAATTTTGAATTATTCGGTGGTACTTTTTCAAAACACTAAATTAGAATCATATTAAATAGGGAGGTAATTTTACTTTTATAGTAATTTAAAATCTGATTTTTTATGAATTATAAAAAAAATCTGATTTTTTATGAATTATAAAAAAAATCTGATTTTTTATGAATTATAAAAAGAACCTTAAATGATAAAACGTTGTAATTGAAAGCTTCAATTCATAATCGATGTCCAGTGACGAGAAATGATGATGAACAATGTTAGAATACAAGCTATCCAAGAATGTAGGAACAAAGAACGTAACAAAGAATAAGAATCAATATGTGTTTGGTTATCCATGTCAAGATAATCAATATGATTGTAGTCCCTATACAGTGTATCTTAAACCAGGTTCATATCTTTTCGAAACATGGGGCTCAAGAGGTGATTTTCAAAATTGGTCTGAAAACCCATCGATCCCTGGATTTGGCGGATATACTTCAGGAGTGTTAACTATAGAAAATCCACTTATTGTTTACCTATATATAGGTTCGATTTCTTTTTTCAATTCGATCTTGGAGTATACAGGAAAACTGTACCTATTTGGCGGCGGATCATCCGATGTCCGTCTGTATGCAAATGAATCGTTTGATTGGTTCAATCCTCTCTCACTTCGCTCAAGAATAATGGTTTCAGGTGGCGGAGGAAGTGCAGAATGGCAAGGGTCAGCAGGAGGTCATGCCGGTGGACTTATTGGTGGCACATGACAATCAGATTGTTCAATGGCAGGATATTCATGTTCAGAATCACGATCCGGAGGTGGAACACAAACTTCAGGAGGATCTGCTGCACCAACTGTTGTTTCTCCAACCAACAAGTTGTTGACTGGATATCCAGGATTATTTGGAATATCTCCTGTAAACTATAGTTCAAATGATATGGGAGGAATTGGAGGAAATGGATATTATAGTGGTGCATCTGTGAATTATACAGGTTCTGGTGGTGGAGGAAGTTCTTTCATCTCAGGATATGAAGGATGTATTGCTCTAAATAGTTCATTAGATGAAACACCAAGTCCAACAAATTCTCCAATCCACTATTCAGGCATTTTCTTCACAAATCCAATCATGATCGAAGGCAACAAGAACATGCCTCTTTATTATAGTCCTTCATCACGTGGCATTGGCAACAAGAGTCGTGGCGCAATAAGAATATCTGTACTTTTATTAAAAATATGTTCATACAAGAATCTGTGTTTGAATTATCGATTTTTCCACATTTTAACTCTTGGATTTATTGCAACATAATAAAACATGATTTCTCAAGAAAATATAAATCTCTAAAATTAATGTTAGTAAAACACGTTTTAAGGTTATTTGTCAAAAATAAAATTTATACTAATTCAATACAACCACTTTTTAAATTTCATTTAAAAAGTGTTCGTATTGATTGTATAAATTCAAATTTATTCCAATTGAGTTGCAAAAACTTTGAGAGGCTCTCAAATGGCTCACTTGGAATAAATTTTTAATTTTGATTTTCATTAGAACACTAATAATTTTCTTTGATCTCCGGAGATTCATGCACTCAATCAAAGCCTGGTGGAGGAACTCAAACATCATGTGGATAAGCACCTCCAAAAGTTGAGGGTTATATTGGATATAAGGGAATGTTCGGAATAGCTCCCATTATCTATAATTCATATGATTTTGATGGAAACGGATACTGCAGCGGTGCATCTGTAGATATTACAGACAATACTGTGGGAGGAAACTCATTTCAGGATATAAACACTGTATTGCGTTGGAAAGCGCAGAAAATGAAACACCAAGTTTATCACTATCTTCAATCCATGATTTCAAAGTATCATTTTCAGAAAAAAAATATGATAATGTATATTATTCTTTTTTCTGATTTAAAAGTATATTCAATGTGTAAAAATAAAATTAACCTTAAATAATAAACCGTTGTATTTTATCATCAATAGCAAAGCTGAATTATCATTGTTATTGAGATCTATTTTAAATTATTATTCAGAAATATTCTTTACAAGTTCAATCGTGATGATGTATAAAATAGCCTTAAAAAACCATTTGTCAAATAAAATTGCATATTTGCAATAATAAAGATCTCAATCTAGGTTTGAAAAGTACTATATTATCACTATGAAAAATTTTCGAAGATAATCATTATTAGAAATCTGGAATGAGAATATTTCAAAATTTAATACTAATTTGCATGAAAAGTATCAAGAATCCTTTAAATATAATAGTTAATCATTTCAATATCAAAAAGCATATTTTGTAATGGGATATGATTGAATACAAACTTTCGAAACCAAATGTCGGGACTGAGAATGTAACAAAGTATAGAAACCAATATGTTTTTGGATACCCATGCCCAGATGACCAATATGATTGCAGTCCATATACTGTACAACTCCAGCCTGGTTCATACCTTTTCGAAGCTTGGGGATCAAGAGGTGATTTTCAGGGTTGGGAAGAAAATCCATCAATTCCAGGATATGGAGGATACACATCCGGTGTATTGAATGTAAACAGTTCATTGAATTTATACCTTTATGTAGGCTCTATATCTTATTTTAACGTAATGTTATTTTATAAAGGAAAAGATTTTTTCCAATTGGCGGCGGGTCATCCGATGTTCGTATATATGCTAATGAGTCTTTTGATTGGTTCAATCCTCTTTCACTTCGCTCACGAATCATGGTTTCGGGCGGCGGTGGGGGAGCTGAATGGCATGGCTCAACAGGTGGTCATGCAGGTGGACTTGTCGGAGGCATAGGACAATCAGATTGCTCCGATGAAGGATATTCATGCCCAAAGTCCAAATCTGGTGGAGGAACACAGATATCTGGCGGAACTGCCGCACCAACAGTAATTTCTCCTAATTCAAATAGACTTATTGGATATTCAGGATTATTTGGAATGTCACAATTAGACTATAGTTCAAATGATATGGGAGGAATTGGAGGAAATGGATATTATAGTGGTGCATCTGTGAATTATACAGGTTCTGGTGGTGGAGGAAGTTCTTTCATCTCAGGATATGAAGGATGTATTGCTCTAAATAGTTCATTAGATGAAACACCAAGTCCAACAAATTCTCCAATCCACTATTCAGGCATTTTCTTCACAAATCCAATCATGATCGAAGGCAACAAGAACATGCCTCTTTATTATAGTCCCATATCACGCGGCATTGGCAACAAAGGTCGAGGTGCCATTCGCATCACCATTCTATTATCTCAAGCATGTTCATGCAACAACAATATATGTTTATATCTCCGATTTTCTCATATTCTTTATCTTGGATTAATTGTTAGTTAATTAAACAATCCTACACTCGAAAATATTAATTTTTTAATTTTTTGATAATTTAAAAGGCAGAGTTTTCAAAATTTGGATTAAGGCTAAAAGTTAATTTTAAGGTTAACTGTCGAAAATTGTAGGTCAAATAAGGAAATTAGATCAGAATTTGAATTTTTTTTATTCAAATATATAATTCTCCAAAAAAGATACATTCCTTTTATTGATATTGATATGTAGATGAAAGTAAATAAATATGATCGAATATTGGCTTTCAAAGCCAAATATTGGGTCCCTTAATGTAACACATGACAAAAATCAATATACTTTTGGATATCCATGCGAAAATGATTTCTATAATGATTGTACACCATATACGGTATTACTTAGAGCCGGATATTATCAGATTGAAGCATGGGGGTCTGTTGGCAGATCTCAAACACTTGAAGCAGGTCAAGCTATTCCAGGACTTGGAGGATATACATCTGGTATCCTGAAAGTCAATGATACATTAAAGATATATCTCTTTATTGGCTCTATTTCTTATTTTAATTATTTAATAAAAAGAGAACAAAAATTTTATTATTTTGGGGGTGGATCTTCCGATGTCCGACTTTATGCCAATGAATCGTTTGATTGGTAAGATCCTTTATCTCTTCGTTCAAGAATAATGGTTTCGGGCGGTGGTGGTGGAGCTGAATGGCCAGGATCCATTGGTGGAAATGCAGGTGGTCTCATTGGTGGAATTGGCAAAACAAACTGTTCTTATCATTCATGGGATTGCTCGACTGTGAAGTCCGGAGGTGGAACTCAGACCTCTGGTGGAGCTGCATCGCCATCTGTGCATTCTGATGATGAAACACAACCATCTGGTGGATCTTCACCAACCGTTCGATGGATAACTGGTTTTCCTGGATTGTTTGGTATGGCAAATATTGATTATGAATCTGCAGATTTTGGTGGGGTGGGCGGAAATGGATACTACAGCGGTGCATCTGTGAATTATACAGGCGCTGGTGGTGGTGGAAGTTCGTTTATCTCAGGCTATGAAGGATGTACTGCACTAAATAGTTCTTTAGATGAAACTCCAAGCCAATCCAACTCGTCGATCCATCATACTGAGATTTTCTTTACAAGTCCAATAATGATTGAAGGAAATAAAACAATGCCTTTATATTTTAGTCCTTCTTCACGAGGAATTGGTAATTCCTATAGAGGAGCCATTAGAATCACAGATCTTTCATTTAAATTCTGCAGTGATAATCTTGAACTTTTATATTTTCATGCGAAACATATTTTCATATGTTTATTTGTTTTCAACTCCTAGTAAAATGAAATAGTTTGAATAATCTTTTTAGATTATAAAGGTTTTATATTGTTAGTTTGAGATTACTAATTGGTTTCGTAGTTTGAGATATGTTTTTATTGAGATTTTGCAATAACAAGTTCACGAGATGGTGGCTTTTCTGTATGTGGTTTAAAATCTCCTGTAAAAGGTAATTCCTGCTTTAAGATTAGGCAAATCATAATGCAAGAACAAAAACTAATACATTTTGATTGAATACAATAATATTGCATTAATTTCATGACATATAACATAGAACAAATATGACGTTATCAGTAATGAGATCTCATTAATGATTCAAAGGAAAAACCGATATCATAGTTCAATGCATAAACATCTATTAACCAAAATGAATGACGATATAACCCTAAATCTGGAATGTGTATTATTGTTAAATTATTGTATAAGGTTTTTCTTAAATAAATGTTTCTGTATTGCTTACACTTTAAAATTTCGTTCTCTGAGATACATTCGTTTATTAGACTTCATTTTCTTTTGAAGTTTATCTCGATGTATCTACGATTATGAGCTTTGACTTGATAAATTTGACACTGTATGGTGTACAATTATATTGGTCGTCTTGACATGGGTAACCAAATAAATACTGGTTTTTATCCTTTGTAACGTTAATTGTACCCACATTATCCTTAGAAAGTTTGTAATCTATCATTCATAACTTTATCCGGGTTCTTATCTATTTGAAGCTTGGAAAAAAGAAGAATTTGGTTCTTCCATTCCAGGTTATGGTGGATACACTTCTGGCGTGTTAAGTACAGATCTGCCACTGACTGTGTATCTATATGTTGGTTCGTTTTCGTTTTTTAATTCGGTTTTATATTATGAAGGAATTGATGACTTTGAGTTTGGAGGAGCATCTTCTGATGTCCGACTATATGCTAATGAATCGTTTGATTGGAATAATCCTCTATCACTCCGCTCACGAATAATGGTTGCTGGCGGTGGTGGGGGTTCTGAATGGCCAGGATCCACAGGAGGCCATGCAGGCGGTCTTGTTGGCGGCGTGGGCCAAACTGTTTGCAAAAATAGTGGCTGGGATTGTTCATCTGTGAAATCTGGAGGTGGAACTCAGATCTCTGGTGGATCTGCTGCTCCAACTGTCCAATGGATATCTGGTATTCGAGGTTTATTTGGTAAATCTCCGATAAATTATAAATTCAAAGATATGGGAGGAATTGGAGGAAATGGATATTATAGTGGTGCATCTGTGAATTATACAGGTTCTGGTGGTGGAGGAAGTTCTTTCATCTCAGGATATGAAGGATGTATTGCTCTAAATAGTTCATTAGATGAAACACCAAGTCCAACAAATTCTCCGATCCACTATTCAGGCATTTTCTTCACAAATCCAATCATGATCGAAGGCAACAAGAACATGCCTCTTTATTATAGTCCCATATCACGCGGCATTGGCAACAAAGGTCGAGGTGCCATTCGCATCACCATTCTATTATCTCAAGCATGTTCATGCAACAACAATATATGTTTATATCTCCGATTCTCTCATATTCTTTATCTTGGATTAATTGTTAGCTAAATAAATCTATAATTTATGTGCATGCATATGTAATTAAAACAACTTAACAATGAGAATAAATTTAATTGAGCATTACATAATCCAGATGGAACTTTTTGACATATTTTACACAACCTTAAAATATAAAAAAAATGTAATCAAGAATCATCATAACAGATAATAATTGACCAAGAATTCAGAAAAGTTTAAATAACATGAAGAATGATTCAGTATAAGCTTTCAAAGAATATTGGTTCAAAAAACGTTACAAAATTTAGAAATCAATACGTATTCGGCTATCCTTGTTCAGAATCTTCTATCCATTACTCAGGCGTTTTCTTTTCTAATCCTATTATGATTGAAGGAAACAAAACTATGCCACTTTACTTTAGTCCTACATCACGCGGTATTGGTAACTCCAACCGAGGTGCAATCAGAATTACGGTTCTCCCATATTATTTATGTACTGATTATGAGTTTATATACTTTTCTTCTTCTTATATTTTTCAATTGTTATTTTGTTCCATATTATCAGAATAAATGAATGATTAAGAATAAATATTGTATTTCAAATGATTCAATATTTGAATATTTCAAAGACAAAAAGTGAATTCTATAAAAAAGAATCGTTGAAATGAGTAACAACGGCTATAATTTCAATATGACAATATACTTAGAAAGCAAATTCAATAATGTAAGAACAAAAATTCAATTGTGTTTTAATACATGCTTTCCAAGGATAGTGGAATATCGCAATTGCAAATTAGATTCAATTCAGTCAATTTAAAGAATTTTCAGATTTGTATGAAAAAGAAACTAAAATATGATAAAATATAACCTTTCAAAACAAGGAATTGGTACACTTAACGTAACTCGTGTGAAGAAATCATATACATTTGGATATCCATGTAATGATTCATTTTACGAATGTACTCCATACACAGTTACCTTAAATCCAGGAGATTACCAAATCGAGGCATGGGGTTCTGTTGGACACTTTCACGTTCAATCAGATCCTGCAATTCCGGGTCTTGGTGGGTACACATCAGGTGTTCTGAAAGTAAATAACACAATGAATGTATATCTTTTTGTAGGATCCACTGCTTTTTTTAATCTCCTGAAACAAGAAGATGATCGAACATTTTGGTTTGGAGGTGCATCATCCGATATCCGTTTGTATGTCAATGAATCTTTTGAATGGTCAGATCCTTCATCTCTCCGCTCACGTATTATGGTCTCTGGAGGCGGTGGAGGTGCCGAATGGACTGGATCAATTGGCGGAAATGCCGGTGGTCTTATCGGTGGATTTGGTCGTTCAGACTGTCATACATATGGTTTTGATTGTACATCTGTGAACGCTGGAGGTGGTGCTCAAACCTTTGGTGGTTCTACGGCCAAATCTGTGATCTGGATTTCTGGTATTTCTGGTTTGTTTGGTAAATCTCCTATAAATTATGCGTATAAGGATATGGGAGGTATAGGAGGAAATCTCTTAATTTCACGGGTGCTGGTGGTGGTGGTAGTTCATTCATCTCAGGATATGAAGGATGTGTTGCATTGAAAAGTCAGCTAGATGAAACTCCAAATCCATCAGGATCTTCTATCCATTACTCAGGCGTTTTCTTTTCTAATCCTATTATGATTGAAGGAAACAAAACTATGCCACTTTACTTTAGTCCTACATCACGCGGTATTGGTAACTCCAACCGAGGTGCAATACGAATCACTATCCTTTCAAATAAATTATGCTCTTTTAATAGGCCAATATATATATATTCTTTTCAATTGTACCAATTTTTATATTGCATCATATTATAAGAATAAAATATGAATTAATTCCATAAAATATAATTTTTATTGATCGGATCGCTATTGTCAAAAAATTACATGAAAAGTGACAATTACTGTAATCAAAAACAACGGCAATTTTCGCCTCAACTGTAGCATTTTAAAAATTAAGAACGATAATCAATGAAGAATGATCCAATACAAGCTTTCCAAGACTGTAGGAACTGAAAATGTTACAAGATTTAAGAAACAATATGTTTTTGGATATCCATGCAACGATAATCAATTTGAATGCAGTCCTTACACAGTTTACCTTCCTATTGGAAGTTACCAGATTGAAGCATTGGGTGCTCGAGGAAGTTATGCATCTTGGAAAGAAGGTCCATCATATCCAGGATATGGTTTCCTTACAGTAATTCCTTTAGAATATATGAAGACATTAACACAAGATATTATTGAAGAATTATTATGCGGAGATAATGAAATTTCAGCTTATCAATTAGCATCAATTCTTCATTTCAAGGGTAATTATACATTACATAATCGTATGTTCATTAAATGCATTGAAGAAATGACAAATAAAGAAAGAATTTCTTTAATAAGGTTCATCACAGGATTCACATCAAAGCCAGACAAAATTACTGTATATTTTATTGATGATGGCAGAGAACATGATATGATCAATGGTCTTTTACCATATGCCCATACTTGTTTCAAGTCAATCGACATGTTTTTATATACATCATATGAAGTAATGCTTTCAAAGTTGAGAACAGCTATTGAATATGGATCTTTCATTTCAGATGGAGTATTTAACTTCGCTGCATATATGGGAGATATAAATTTGAATTCTGACTAAATTATTTTATTTTTATTTATGAATTATTAGGAAAATATAATTTTCATTTTTAAAATTGTTGAAATTATAATTTTATTTCTCCTAAATTGTACTCATTCTAAATGCATTATTATCTACATAACTTTAGAAGTTTGTGCTGAAAATGGATCCATGCCAATTTTATTCGAAATGAATGAAAAAACGAATATAAAAATCCCCAAAAACACCCAGAAGTAAGATAAATTAACACATTTAATCTATAATTATATTCATAGACAACATCCATAGTTGTAAATGTTTTATGTGATGACCGTGTTCCAATTATGTAACTGAGTCAGGAATGATGTTCACAAAGAAGTGGCAAAAGATATCACCTGAGATAATCTTGACACAACGACAAGTAAGGTGACGAAAAGCTGGTTTTGTGAAATTCTGGATGTTCTTACATGAATTATTAAAATTCTTTGTGTATATATATAAAAAAACAACATAACAAATATTATTTACAAACTAATATAAAATTATTTGCGTCTCAGTGCAACAGATAGTCTTTGCAAAGCAAATTCTCTGTTGAACAGCTGTGTTATAACTGCTGATGAATCTGCAGGAGATAATTTATAGTTTCTGGCCCAAATTGAATCATTAATAAAGCCCAATTCAACATTTTCCCATGAAACACCGCCGACATTCCTATAATTAACAACTTTTCGTTGTTGGTATTGTTGTTGAGGTGGTGCTGGCATTCTATTTTGTTGAATCTGAGATGGAGGCATTGGCATCATTGGTTTTTGAGGAGATTGATGTGGAGGTGGTGGCATCATCATTCTGTTCCGTTGTGGAGATGATGGCATCGCTATTGGCATCCTCTGTGGTGAAGATGGAGGAGATCTTGAAAATTGAGGGGGGAGAGATTGTGATGATGGGGGAGGTGGTATCGTTCTTTGTATTTGAGGGGGAGGTGACTGCGATGATGGGGGAGGTGGAAGTTTAAAGGGAGTTTGAGGAGATTGAGGTAATTGTGGTTTCGGTATTGGCTGATTTTCTGCATCTTCCTCATCTGAAGAAGAAGATTTCTGGTTGTCGTCGTTTTCTTCCGAGTCTCCACCTTCAGATTCGTCTTTCATCTTCTTAGCGATTTCATCCATCGAGTTTTCGTCTTCTTCTTCGTTTCCTTTTGATGATTGCGATAGTTCTGGTTGAGAAGATGACCTTGACATCGCTTTTTCTATGTCTTCTTTTGTAAATGAAACAGATTTCGTCATTTTACGGCCAATTCTCTTATCAGAGTACTTGTCATAGCACGAAATAATCTTCAAATCCGCAATAAATTCTCTCAAATCCCTCTTTTTGAACCTTTTAATTGGGCCATTTAAGTCTTTGAGGTCATTATGAGGTAATTGTACCAGCATTTTGATATGTCTGCCCTTTAGATACTTCACGAAGTCTCTCCAATCATCAGGATTTTGAAATTGATTCTGATCTAAGTACAAACTCTCCAAATAAAAGTTTTTGTCAAGGAATTTCTTAAGCAAAGGGAATATATCATCTTGTATACACTGATTAGATATATCAAGTAACTGTATTCGCTTATCTACTAAACCATCCAAAATTCTTCCAACAGCTACGCCGATTTTCTTGTTTTCTCGGCCTTGAACAACCAATTTCTTGATTGTTTTGTTGGAAGAAATGAATTTTAAGAAAGGGTCCATTGAATTATCCGAAATCGAGAAACAACCTGACAAAGAAAGGTACTTTAGCTTCTTGCATGCAGCCAGGAAATCGAAGAAACCTTGATGGAGTGGGTTTTCTTCCCATTTGAAAGCAAATAAATTTGGTATTGGATATTTCGAAATTTTTTCGAAAAGAACGAGCTTTGCTTCAGTTTCTATATCAGCATTACTAAGATCTATGACGACATTAAGGTCCGGATTCATCGAATTATGCGAGAAAATGTTAATAAACGATAATAAATTGTTTCCAAACCATTTTATGTTTGTACCAATGAATTTATCGAACTTCTTTGGTAATTTCATCTTCCGTGGAGGCTTCATCTTGCAGTAATTACTATCACAATAAATCTCTCGTATACGACAATTCTTGGTATTTGCAATTTCTTTGATTGTAGGGGTGATATCGACATCGTTATACGAGAAATCTAATTTGATGAGCCGTGGAAGATGTTGGATGGCGTTTTTGGCCGATGCGCCTTTGACATGAGTTATTGTTAAAGATCTTAACGCTTGGAATTGATTATTGTTAGCGAAAACCTTTATAATGGGATAGAAATTGTCAACTGACTCGTTAAAACCAAGCTGAATGATCGGTTTCATCCTCATTAACTCAATTAACAATGAAACTTGCTTGGAAGTGACTTTGGATTTGTTAAATAGTAAGGATTGAATCTTAGAATTAGGGTTCTGTATAATGGCTTGCAAAAAACTGTTAAAACCATCCGAAATTTTGTCAAAAATTTCAATTGACGTAATAAAGTTAGTTCTGCGTATGAAATTGGCGAGAGGTGTCCATAAATTATGCTCTGTAGTCTCAGGAATGATTAGAATCTTAATAAAATTGCATACATCAAGAGATTCAAAAATTAAGTCAGCGTAAGGTTCGAAACCGGCAATTTCGCCAATGTTAAATGCTATAACTGAGTTATTCTTGATGTCTTGTGTGTATTTGTTAAAGCTTTGGAGAAATTCTGGAGTTGGAATTCGATCATTTGCTCGGCATTTGAAAAGAAAGCGTTTGTATTGTGGATAATACTTGTCCATGTAATCGGGGCTAGGTATGTATTGATCTGATTTGAACATCGGTAGCTCGGACATTAAGAAAACGTTTACGAGGTTCTTCATTATCTGTGTGAGCATGATTCTGTACGCTTGGTCACGGCAATGGAATGTTTGATCTGAGTATTTGAGGATAATTTCGTTTTCTGCTGGAGAATAAATTTCTCTAACACGATCCCATGGTATTAGAGTATCAAATTGGATCTTCTTTGTTAAGAATTTCGATTTGTATAAATATGCACCATAGATTGTGGCCAAAAAGATCCGATGTCCAACTTTTCCGTTTTCTTTAGGCTTTTCAACTTTCCTAATGAAAAGTATTGGTTCTATTAGAGCATCTGGTGGATTTGGGAGTGACTCAAGTAGACGCTGATTCACTTCCATGGTTGAAAAGTTTCTAAAATTTCTGAGGAGTTGGATCTATTTTCAAATCTGCTTAAATGTGAATAATTGAACTGATTGTGTTATGTTGTATTTTATATGAAAAGTCATTATGGCAATTTGTCATTTTTCAGAAAAAAAATTTACAGATGGTTATCAGTAAATCGCCTGCATATGAAACTCTTGAAAGTAAATGGAAATAAATCTTCGGTTAAAATGAAAAAATTAAGAACTCATCAAAGATTTGCAAAAAAATTAACTCATAAACTAGATATAAGGAAGAAATTTTAACTCTTCAAGGGAAATGGAAAGAAAAATGAAAATAAAGAAGAAAAAAAGAAACATTTGCTTTTATTTAATTTTATGAATATGGCACTTTTCGTCGATTTGTTCTTTTATTAATAAACGGAAATAATCATATATGAAAAGAATACGGATTAATTCTTTTGTAGTCATTAAATCAAATGCACAAATTATTTGTAAGTTTCCATTTTGTAAAAATTATAATAAATATTGAAAGAACTATTCAAAATATCAATCCACTTTTTGAAATAATTTCTAATGTTTTGAATTTCTTTTGACGTGATTATTGAATTATAATATTATATCAACAACTGAATTTAGAACACATGTAATTCGAGTTGCAAAATAATGAACGTTATGGATTTTATTTATATATCAGTTTGTTTAATTACAAATAGGCTAATATGTTCGAAATAAATTCAATTTAAAATTTGAAAAATAATTCAAACCATTCAATAACTCATTCAATCAAGTAAAAATCAATTCAATTTCTAATTTAACTGACAACAGAAGCTTTATAATATCTTACGATAGTACATTTGATCCCATGACAAAATTGAATTAAACTATCAAAAGTTATTTAACATCCCCATTATACTATGCATTGAATCGGAATAATAATGTACCAGATCCTGCTCACAATTTTTTTTCTCTCAAAGAAGTTGGCCAATTCAGGAATCATTTAATATAAGATATCTAGTTAAATTACTCAAAATCGTATCATCAAAAAGTTTTTTATCGTCAATCAGAAAAAAATATGGATAATCAGTATGAGAGCCTTGAAAGATTAATCCTATTTGTTTTCAATTCACATGAATCAGCTATAATCTCAACAGACAATATATACCAATACATTCAGGGATTAACCTGCTCAATTCGCATTGACAATGATTGGACACCTTCTACCGCAATATCCAAGTGTCAAATTGTTCAGGCCTTGCAAGAGTCAGACCGTTTCGTTCATATAAATCGTTCAGCGTACGATCGTTGGGCTTTGAGTCTCCAATCCACACTTGCGATCTCAGATACAGCATTATTCGATATGATAAACAGACTCCTCGTAGAAAACGGTCCTCTTTCCATTACTCAAATGACAGCTATGGCCGAAATTCCAGATGTCGATAGTCGAAAATTGATGAGGTTTTTCACAACCCACGCGGCAGAATTTTCACCAACTCATACCGGAACATACTGGTTTAAGAACACACCGGAACCAGAAGTCCAAGATTATTGCTCTCTTGATAACGCCATAAACGCTGCACTTGGCATCCTCAAAGAGGCACATCCACAAACAATAGCAAGAGCCTTATGCCTTTCAACGGTTAGTGGTTCCAAAATTACAGAATCTGATGTTTCATATCAACTCACTCATAATCCGGATTTATATCAAGAAATCCGTCCGAATATCTTCAGAGTTTCCAGATTTATGAAATTCAGATCATCATTTAAGTCCGAGTCGTCAGAATCAGAATCAACCTCAGTTGAAAGCAGCGAAGCTGTTTTCAATCCATACGATTTCTTCAATGATCACAGTCCGATTCGTTTTGCGCTTACAGTTTAAGTTTTGTATGTATTTTTATTTAAATTTGGCAAGTAATTTTAAATTTGTTTTTAATTTCTATCTTGTCTCCCTCTCTTTTGATTAAAACTCTTTCATTTGAAAAATAAAAAGCATTTTATATATTTATATATTGTTGGGGCATTTTCTTAGGAGAGGGTAAATTTGAATACCATTCAAAAGTAAAAATTCACAATTTGTTCGATTTGGACATATAATCTATTATTATATATAACGTAATTAAGAAAAAAAATAAAATGACCTGCATATATTAATTATTTAGATTGCAAGATTCAAAAAAGCTATTAAAATTAGAGACTAAATAAATAGCGAATTGATTCATATGGATTTATGTAATTGTGAACATTAAAAGAGTTTATTTATTGATCTAATAAAAAAAGATAAAATATTAATGAGAAAATTGAAAGAATAGAGTGTCCCATTCACTCGTGTTAGTCGCAATGTATCATTCTGGGAGACATTGCCTCTGCATGTCTCCCACAATGGCACAATGTTCCTTGGAGAAAGACCTGGAAGGGGGTCCTTTCTCAAGGTCAGGGCCCCCTTCTAGTCTTTCTGGTCCTGGAAGGAGCGCTTCTGACTGGTCTGTGCGCTGCTTCCAGGAAGATCAGGAGATTGCTCGAAGTTCGCGGCAAGTGCATTCCGACACCACAGATGCACTTGCTGCAACATATAATTGCGAGTGTCTGCTGCTTTGGTCAAAAGAAGCAGCAGACACTCGCAATGCGAACCGAATTGTCCCAGAAAGACCTGGAAGGGGGTCCTTTCTCAAGGTCAGGCCCCCTTCTAGTCTTTCTGGTCCTGGAAGGAGCGCTTCTGACTGGTCTGTGCGCTGCTTCCAGGAAGAACATGAGATTGCGCCAATAAGCTCCTATCAACAAATTTTGACTAAAAATATAAAGTATCCTTTTGTGATTTAACGAATAGCTCAATTTTAAAATAGATTTGATTCTAATAATAAATTGAATGAGTTTCGCTTACGTTTAGAATTTAATGATTTATATGATTTTTTCGTTCACAGAAGAGTCATTGATATCCAATATCAAAAAAACAGCAAAGACACACCATAATAAATGATATTGAAGCTAAATATTACATATTTCAACATATCTAAAAAATTATTATAAGATTAGATCTCATGCAATGCCGAGCAGTTTCCTAAAGCATAATTACTTATTTATACAGAATCAATTATATAATATTCACATTGCAAATTATATACATTCTCACGAAGCAACATGAAATAGACTGTCCGAATTTGAATTCAAATAGAGATCTACTTCAAAAGGATTTCTTACAATATGTAATCTCGATGTTGATCACTGGAATACAAGGGATGCACGTAATTTACAAATTGTTGCAAAAATAGTAGTGCAACAAAAATTTTATTTTTAGCTTGTCACTTGATATATAACAATTGCAAAAACTCAATCAAAAATAGGATTTGAACAACTTTTTAAAATTGTGAGAAAAATTCTATCGGCACATTCTATTCAATTTTAAAGTATTTCTTTCATATTCCAATCGATTATTCAATATTTGCCAATCACAAATTTTAGTTCAAAATTCAAAAATCCCTAATTTTAATTTCAGATGAAATCTCGCAAAAATAACATTGTTTTAACCATATAAATATATATTTTATATATTGTATAGTGATTTTTTAATATTTTTATGAGTAAAATCGAGAGTGAGGAAATGTGGACTACAAAAAACGATAGAAATGAATAGTTTACATGGGAATTCAATACTTACAAGTATTCAATGTCACTTTTGTGCTCGAGATTTTGACTCTAGTATATAAAAAAAGTAAACCAAGAGTAAAAAAAAACTTATAATTCCATTTCATCTTCAGCATAATCATCTTCTTCTTCATCAAACTCATGGAGCTCTTCTAATGGCTCCATATTTTCTTCTTCTGGTTCAGGAATATCTTCTTCTTCCATTCCTTCATCCAATATTTCGTTTTCAGATGGTAAATCATAAACAGTTGGTGATAACAAGCACTTTGTAGGATCAGGAGATGTCGGTATATCAAGATACTTAAAATCTTCATGACTTGTTGATACATATTTAGGACGTTTAGAATCAAGCTTTTTATGCTTTATCTGTTTCGTCGGTGTTAATGGCTGCATTGTAGGGGAATCATTTTCATCATTATTATTCGATTCCGCTTTGTTTTCAGGATTTGGCATTTTTTCATTTTCTTTCAAAATTTCGTTTTCAGGGCTATTTGAGGGTTGGACTTCTTCATGCTTCTGTTCGTCTATCAGTTCATCATTAGATTTGTCGTTTTGGTCGTTTTCAACCTTAATTTGATTTTGATTTTCTTTTTCTTCTTCGAAAACCTCAGATCCATTGCTTAACTGTGCCTGATCTCCGAAGATGGAATTTTTAACAAGGTTATTGAATACTGTTGCCGATATAGAATCCTTGATATTCGCTGAATCCGTCGAAGTTACAATGTGTTCTATCTTTTTATCACTGATTGTGACAATAGGTCGGACCATCTTCAAGGCGGCAAGCTTTGTAGGGCTCGCTTTTACTTCTTCGTCTTGAATTTTCGGAGTTTTTGGTTTAATTTCGCGAATTTCTTCTTTCTTTTTAGGAGAATACATCTCCAATGAAGGAATTATACCTGGAAAGAAGCGAGGAAGTCGTCTAGGAGCCATTGTTGAGTTCATATCTTTCTTTTTTCCTTGATTTAAGGTAGATTGGTAAATTAATCTGGTCATAGCGTATGGATATATGATATCATTCTCTTTTTGATAGTTTCTTTGTGTTTTGCTGAGTTTCATCGGTGAATTTGTTTCATTTTCTTGATTTTGCTCTTGAATTTCTGAATTTCCCTGTAATAATCGTTCTGCCTTTTGTTTTGGAAGCAATTCGTCGTGGTAATAACGATAAATTTCAGGAGATGGGTTGAAAATTTTAGTTGGCGTCAATTGGCCTTTATCATCAGGTGTTTGGACAACTATTGGTTTCGTAGATAAAGGCTTTTCGCAAATAACGGTGATTGTCATTCCAGGGCATATATTTTTTATATTTGTAATCTCTTCATTTGAATCATTTATGAGTTTGGAGACTTTCCAATCGTATCTATGGTGGAATTTTATCTGGTTGAGTAATGATTTCATGGTTTTTGGTAGTAATATCGGTATAGATTTCTCATTTTCTTTTTGATAATCGAAATGAATAAAAATTGAAGAGTTTCTGTCAGGACTCTGTGGATATTTGTCGTTGGGAATGTAATCTGTTTGGCTTTTGACCGTTGATTTGTGAATAATCATTTCATATTTTACAATTTTACTTAATTGAGCTAAAAGTAGCTGAGAATGGTCGCCAATTGCGAAAGCAATTTCATTTGTATTCATAACTACGTCGCGTGGACTTGGCTGGCTATCTCCAAATATGATGTTTTCGAAATGACTTGGTTCATCAGGTTGTACGTCGTCCAAAATAGACAATTCGAGTCTATTCTTGCCAAGCTTGCCTTCATTAATTAAATTAACAATGCCACGAAGATGTTCAAGCTTGACTTGTAAAATTTCATCATGAATATTATTAAAAATTGATTCGAAATTCTCGATAACCTCGTTAATCACTTCGAGTAATTGAGTATATCCGTTTCTGCATATTGCAATATATGTGTACTGTTCGAGATCTTCAATAATTGATTGAAATCTTTCTTTTTCAACGCATGTCTTTAATAATTTTACATATTTATCATAATCGCTTTGAACAGTTTCCAGAGATTTAGTTATATTTTGCTTCCAATTCTCTAACTGTCTCAAAGATTCTTCTTTATTCATCAAACTATAAAAAAATTATTTTTGACAGTTTACAAAAAACATTTTTTTCTTCAATTCCTTAATAATTTTGACAGTTTATATTGATAATAAAAAGAAAAGTGAAGTGAAAAGTTCATTTCTAATTTTTAAAATTTTATTCTATTTTGTATGTTTAAATGATATGATTTAAAAACGATACAAAATTGAGTCAGAAATATATGGCGCCAACGAATGAGAAACAAAAATTGGAAATAGCAAAAGCTCTTGAGCAAAATGAACTCAAAGTTGGCGATAAGGGTTATTTACTATCATTTAGATGGTTTTCAAAATGGAAGAAAGTCACAGGATTTGAAAATGAAGAAATTGATCCTGAAATTAAACTTGGTGAAATAGATAATAACCATTTACTCGATAAAGATCAAATAAAAATCACAATCATGGATAATTACGATTATATTTGCATTCCTGAAGCTGTTTATAAATTATTTTTTGATTGGTACGGTGGCGGGCCAGAAATTACTGTCGAAATGATCAATAGCCCAGCTACAAATACACCAGTACCGTTAATCATAAAATGGCACCTTAAAATCATTTTTTCAGACCAAGAATTCGAAATTTTAACAAATCGATACGAATACGTCCGAGATATTAAAAAGCGAGCATGCGAACACTTTGGAATCAATTCTGATGCCACATATCTCGTAGATTACTGGAATAAGAACGTTTTATCCATATTTCGAGATGATTTTTACTTAGAACAATGTTATATCATTAATACGCAAGAAATACTATTAAAACTTAAAACAGACAATAGAAATACATCATCTAGAGGCAAATTTACCATTTCCAGAACGAATTCTTCGATGTCATCTGGAATTACGCCAATTATAGCAACACCACAAACATTAGGACACGTAGGATTAGATAATATAGGTAATACATGCTATATCAACTCTTCTCTTCAAGTTTTAGCGCACACAGAATTATTATTTCAGTATTTCGAGTCCGGATTATGGCGGAGAGAGTTAAATGAGCAGAATCCGAAAGGAACAGGTGGAATCGTTGCTCATCAGTTCGCGCAATTGATAAATGACATCTGGACAAAGAAACAAAAAGTTATTTCCCCGTATGACTTGAAAAACTCGATAGGAAAATTCCATCCACAATTTAATAACAGCCAACAACAGGATTCGCAGGAATTTTTGCTTTGTTTATTGTCAGATTTGAGTGGAGATTTAAATCGAGTTACAAAAAGGTGCTACATCGAAGGAGTTGTTGGTGATGGCACGAATGATAATGAAACAGCAGATTTGGCATGGAAAAGGCATAAACTTCTGTTTGATTCTGCTATTGTTGATATATTTCATGGACAATTACGAACAGAAGTGAAATGCGATGAATGCGGAAACAAGAAAGTTGTTTTTGATGCTTATTCTTCACTTTCTATCCCGATTTCGAAGACAAGTCTCGAAACAATCAGATATATGTACATTCCCGCTGATCTTAAGCGGCCAAGATACATTGTAAAGATATTAGTAAGTGAAGATCAAGAAATAGATGACATTTTTGATGACGCACAAACGAGATTTAAAGCAGAAGATTTATATATCTTTCCAAGAGATTTTCTGTCATCGGAATTCAAAATAACTGCATCTAAAACCGTCAAAAAGATTGATTTTTATGCAATTGAACGTTCTTGCAGTTCAATGCAAGTTTTAATGAATATTGTCGTTCCAAAATCAAAAGTTCGTGGACAATTCGAGGTCCTTGATGGTCCAATACTTATAGAAGCACCTTCAAAGTCCAAAAAACTTGAAGAAATCGTTGAAGAAAAAATTAAATTTATTTATGAGAAATCTAAGTATCCGACAACGGACAAAATGAGAGCTTTCGAGCAATCATTGACACATTCATCAGAAATAGATTTCAAAAACCAGAAATTTTCGATAAAATTGAATTTTAATTCGAATTTTGATGAAGAAAACGATGAATACGGAGATATAAGCAACCAAAGTATCAAAGTCATATTAAATCCCGAATTTACTAAAGAATCATTAGGATTTAACTGGGGATCTTTATGCCCACTCGATTACGGTTATGATGGCTCTTTTCCATGTAACCAAACAGATTACGGGCTTGAAGAATGGATAAAACAAATGTCATTTCCTCAAAAACTCGAGAATTTCAACAAATGGTTTTGTCCTCACTGCAAAAAGTTCGTAAATGCGGTTGTAAATGCTACAATATGGTCTGTTGCTGATGTTCTCATTATGCAACTGCAGAGATTTACACAAGAAAACGGAGAATATAAAAAATTAAACGTTGTTGTTGATTTTCCAACAGAAATCGACATGTCTCCTTATTTAGTCGGACCTCAAAAGGATAAAGAACAGAAATATAGGCTTTACGCCTATATTAATATTAATATTAATCATATAGGAACTCTAAATGGAGGCCATTATACAGCAAATATCTTTGATTCTACCGATGAAAGTTGGTATACGTATAATGATGAGGCTGTTTATAAGGCTTCATCAAATACAAAGTCTTCTAATCCTTATATTTTGTTCTATAAACGAATAAAGGTAGTCTCACGAGAAAACTGACGGTAAAAATTCGATGAAACCAGGTGCATTGTATAGTACATATATGTGGTAAATAAATGTCGATTAGCTTTGTAAAAAATATCCCACAGTTTTTGAGATCTTGAAAACGGCCATTCAAAAAGTCGAAAATTTTCGCGAGATGTTAATGGGCAAGACAGTTTTTCGACAAATAAATCGTAAACATGGGAATTAAAATAAGGCGTTATATTACATATATGGTAAAGAATATGGATGTGAAGAGCATTAGTAGAATGGAAAGACTTTGAAATTTTAAAAAATTTATCTGGACTAAAAAATTATTTGATTATAAAAAACATATTATATATCAATTGCTATATAGAACTATCATAACAGATTTTGGAAAAGCCGCAAATCCCCAAGTTGGAAAATTCATTAAATACTAATTATTCAGCTTTTTATCAGAAAGGAAGGTAGTGTAGTCGTTGGGAACACTATGCTCTTTTTGAATCTAAAAGGCAACTGTTCAAATCATAACATCTTTGTTTTTTTTTCTTATTCTGCCATTATTGTTTGTCCTTGTTATGATTCAAATTAAAAATATTTTAGTAAAGGTATTTTGGACATCATTTTTTCACATTGTCTCAATGCAAATGTTTGAAAATTTTGTAGGCAATATGACAACTCTTTCAACATTTGTTCTCTTTTATTAACTCAAACAGATTCAGGATCTAATTTCATGCCTTCGAAGACATTTAAACCATCTTCAACATAATTTATTGACAAATTGATAACAATTACTCATGAATGTCGTAGATTTAATATCCTGTCACTCAGCAACAAATTCGGGTTCAATAACAAAGCTCAGTAAAAACTTTACAGAAATTCTCCAATTTATTTTAGTGTCTTTTTGCGTCATTACGGCTGCATTTTCTTCTGCATCTGAACGCTGTGTTTGGAAGAAGACGAAATACAGAAACTTTCAACACAAGTAATCAGATTTTCTTGTCTTTCATGTTAAAATGCTTCATCTCGCTAGGTATACGTCATTTATTGGATGGATTGTTAGCTTTGTGTCCAAATAGCAAAAAAAAGTATTAATTTAAATTTCGCATTTTGCATAAGTATACGCTTTAATTTATATCAAAACAGATTTAGATAGCTTAAAACAATATAGTTTACTCATAAATACATCTTGATAATTCACTTCTTCAATTTTCATAATCTTATATCCTGACCTATATCCTCTTATAAACCATATTTCTACTGAGATCTTCTTAAAGCATCTTTTTATCCCTATCTACGCCTCGAAACCCTATTTTTCCGGCGGAATATGAATCTTCGGGTCTCGCTGATTCGATTTCTGCAGTCAGATCGTAAAAATACCACTACATAGCCTGATAATCTCAATTTAAGTTCCTTAATTTTTTTGAAAAAAAAATTAAAACTCCCTTATCAAACATCATGCTCATTTTTACGAATTTCATTTTTCCTTTAAGTTTAAAATATACGCTTTTTAGCATGTTTATAATACATTTTCAATTTACATTTACATTTTTATTTTTGAATTGTTTATTTATATTTCCGTTTGAACAATAATATTTATTGAAAATTGTGAGAGAAACGGATATAATAAAAAACACCATACAACAAAATTCACTTTTTTTCATACTTACGCGGATCACTCCTTTTCGGCCCAATATGCCGGAAATGATAAAACTCTCAGATTTAGTTGCTAAGATCCAAACTCTCGACTCTCAAATCTACTTCCTCAGATATTGTTGCTAAGATCTAAACTCTCGACTCTCAAATCTACTTCCTCAGATCTTGTTGCTAAGATCTACTTCCTCAGATATTGTTGCTAAGATCTAAACTCTCGACTCTCAAATCTACTTCCTCAGATATTGTTGCTAAGATCTAAACTCTCGACTCTCAAATCTACTTCCTCAGATCTTGTTGCTAAGATCTACTTCCTCAGATCTTGTTGCTAAGATCGATCTATTATACTCAATTTTACTTAAGCAATATAGATCACCTTTATTATGATTCTCTTTATCTGTACTTGTTTAAAATTAAATTACATCATAAAGATCTAATTACAAATTATTTAGAATTTTGAAATAAAACCAGTATTTTATCAAATGCTTTGAGATTAATGCATTCAAACTTAAAAAAAAAGATATATTCAGATCAATTTCAATATTATTGATTTTTTAATGTAAAAACTATGTCTACATAGATCTCAAACAATTTTATTAGATACTCTTTTTCCCAATTTTTTTCAAAATCTCTTTTTACATATCAAAAATTGTATTTTTCAATTTCATTTTTATTTTTTCCATATTTTTTTTGGAATTTGGATATGCGTCCAAAGTAGTTATGTCATTAGAAAAATATTAGATATCTGAAGAGAAAATGATAACTTAGAGAGTTTTAAAGATTTTATTTTCGAATACAAATATAGACCTCAGAGGAATACATTCTAAATAAATTTGTATCTGAGGGTGAATAAATAAGAACAAAATTTAAAGGGTTAGCATAAATAATGTAGAAATTAAGATTGGAATTTAAATTTAATACAAAATTAAAGGGAATGAATTTGCGATTAGTAGGGTATGGCAAATGGATTGGGAAACATTGGTTACACATGAAAATTATCAGATGTAAGAATTTGGTGCAGATATTTTAAAAATGAGATCTGAGTGCTTAAACAATATCTCAAAATTCAAATTTTCCAAATGAAAATTTGGAAAATTCCCAAAATGCAGAATCAACTGATGATTTTCAATCATTAATAACGCCAATACAAGAAGATCATTTTCCTTCTGCCAACGAACTAAAACAATGGTTTGATATTGCCCATGATGTTTTAATTAGTCCGCCACCTGAGAATCAACATCCAGAAATTGATGAAGAAGAGACACAAAAAGCAATTTATCTATTACAAAACTTAGACTTTCCTAAGAAATAAAATTATTTAATTTATTCTTGTTTGTTTTTTAATTAAACATGTATATTTATTAACATTTCCTTTTTTAATACCTTTCCAACTTCTATTAGTAACAAATACATAACTAATTTGAAGATTTAGCGTTATGAAGAAGTATCCAAGTAATAACGTCAATAATGCATTTGCGATAGGATATAATTGCACCAAAGGTTAAAACTTGTATAAAGAATGAAAAATGAAATTTAATACAATTTTTTTTCGAAAAAAATCCATGCTTGGCTAGATTTTCATAGTTATTGAATATGCATTACTGACATCTTGTAAAAGATGCCGATCAAGGCTTTCAAGATTGCTAAATTTCTCGATTAAAATTTACATTTTTTTTTTATTTGTGTTTAATTACATTTTACAGTTTGCAGACTTACATAAAATCCGCAACATAGTGGTTATTTAATATTTGCCCCACAGTATTGTAGTTTGAAATTTACGATAAGATTATAATTGATAAAGTAAGGTTTTGTCATTAATGCATCTTATAAACTTTCATTGATAAATATGGATAGATAAGTTCTGTGTTCAAAAGTAAGCATTTTTTAAAACGCGCAATTATATCAAGAACGACTATCATAAATTCATGAGTATCGATGATTTTCGTTTAGGATGGACTTAATCGGCTTGATTGATATACATATTTTAAAATGGCATAGCTTTGTGCATGTTATGTCAAGCATTGTGCCAAACCAATTTAAAATGAAACAAATTATTTTAAAGAAACTATATATGAACTATTCGAACACTTTATATTAATGTAGGGAGCTATAAATTTAAATATTCTAAAAATTTATTTATTTGTTAAGAGTTCGGAACAAATTTATTATTGAATATATAGGAAATCAAATAATTATGCATAATCGCATAAAAAAATGCTGAAACAATGAAAAGAAAAAAATAGTTGCCCAATAGAAAAAGTCGAACCCATACCCCTACCCATTGAGTTATCCTCACTTTCAAGTTTCGATCGAAAAAAAGGTATTTAACCGCGTAACTCGCACCTTTTAGTCGTATTTCGAAGTTCTATATAGTATTAAAGATTAAGTTACATTATGTACAAAATAACTTTTTATTGTTATTTGATTTTGATAGCATTATTAGCTGAATATGCAAAATCTCGTAGAAATAATCATTTCATTCAGACATAAGTATTGGATTGTTTCCCAACAAGCATAATAACACACGTTTCATATTATAATTTATTTCATTTCTGTACAAAATTTAGATAACGATATCAAATAAAAAAAACTGTGGCATTTTTTTACTTCAAACTATCATGAAGTGTAACCAAATTGGGTGAGTATTCTTGCTATCAGTATGACATGAAAAAGTGAACGACAAAAATTGAAGATGTTGTAGTTAACTCGGATTTTTTTAATTGCAAACACATCTATAATTTGTTTAAATATCATTTATTATATCAAAATCGAAAAATTCGTTTTTGGAAATCTTTGAATTTATGAGAAGTTCTACAAAGACACTTACAAATATAGCGTTTGCAATAAAAAGGCTCTTTAATCTTCTTCATCCTTGCTCAGAAACTTCTACTGGTTACCTTACGGGTAACCTGCAAAGCTGCTTCCAAGGCATCGGGAAAATAACGTATTTTCGTGAGACTACCTTTAAACGAATATAAAAACTTTTTTTTTGTTTGATGTAAAAAATTTCTCTTGTCACGTTTTTTTTCTCAAATCTCCTCTGAAATGTTTTATTTTAAAAACTCCACAATTGTTTTAGAAATTATCGTGTGTTTAGTTAAATGACATGATTAACATATGAAACGATTATTTTACTTTTCTAATAGTCATCCATAATGATGATGTATCCAATTAGCTAAGCAGAAGTCCATAATAATTTTAGCGAATTTCTTAAATCTGACATATTGAATTCATATCCGATTTTTTAAAAATATATCCGAAAGAGTCAAATAAAGTATTTTTTCATTTAATTTCCAGTTTTCTGAGAAAATGGTTTATATCCGATTTTTCAACATAAAAATTTAATGCTTTCTGCATTAATTTGCCATTTCAACTTCGTTTGCCAGCATGATCTTCTCTTTAAAAAACTTAATATTTCAGATGGTCCACGAAGAGAGTCACTAGGAGATTCGGAAACTTTCGATGTTTCAGATAAATGGAGACCATTTCGAATTAAGTTTAATTATGATTTCATGGATGGAAAGAAGGAATATCCACTGCGATGTGATCGCGTTGGTCAAGTTTTAGATTCAGGATTCCGTTGTGAAAAAGAAAATGTATTGACAGATGCCCAAAGAAACGCCCTTAAACAAACAATAGACAATGTAATAAAGTTCTTACAAAATACTATCAAAGTTAAATCATTACGTTTTCCTATTAAAGTTTCTAATTTAGAAGATTACGGAGATTTTGATGAAATTGTTTTTAATGATGCAGATTTAGGAATTGTTGCTACATCAATTGCTTTAGATTCAACAAATTCAATAATAGCTGCAGCAGCACCAAGAGTATTCATTAAACCATCATATAGACCATATATTGGAGTAATGTACTTTAATCCAAGATTTGTTCCTGAAAAACCATGTGATTACACAGATTTCGAAAGCAAATTCTTTTACACTGTCCTTCATGAGTTGACACATGCTATTGGTTTCCTTTCCTCAGCGTATTGGAGTTTCCATCCTTATGAACAAGAAGATAAATTATATATAACCAGTACTTGTCAATTAACAAAGTATAACAAAAAATACAATTTCTTAGTTACTCCTTATGCCCATCTTTATGCAAAGAAGAGATTCGGTGTTGACAAATTCTATGGAGATAAGAATAAGTCATGCCCTGCAGGTATCGAATTAGAAGATCAAGGCGGACAAACCACAGCAGGATCACATCTTGAAAATGAACTTATTATACTGAATATATGGTTGGATCTGTTCCTAATGTTGATGCGCCATTTCAAAAGTTTAGTGATGCAACAATGGCTGTTTTAATGGATACAGGTAATTATAAAATTAACTGGGCAAATACAAAACCATTAGTTTTCGGACATCCTGAATCAATTAACGGCAAAACAATTGAAGGATTTGCAATAGATCCACCACAAAAGAAATTCCCAGAAGGTTATTTGCAATCAAGTTACAACACTGTTGGATTTAATTATAAATCGATTTCAAACAAACTTCCAATATTTAATGTATCCGAAGATGTATGTAAATATCTAGAATTTGAAAAATATTGTAATGACAAAGATAACCAATTCTATAATCCCAATAGAGAAAAATTCGTTTCAGCTGATATTATTTCAGATTATCAAAAATATAATGATCAGGAATATTATTGTGAAAACAATAAAGCTGTTCTTCCAGGTCATTTAATGGATATGCCTGAAACAGAGTACACAGAAGATCATTTCGAAAATCTTTGTGGAACTTATAAATGCAATGGATATGAAAGTTTTGAGTTCCATACTGTTGATGCTGATAACAAAGAAGTTACATATCAATGCACTAAAAATAATATCAACGAATCTTTTTCATATCCTGTGAAATTCATAAGTGGTAAATCTCATCGTGTATTGAAGTGAACTATTGCCCAGATCCAGAAAGATTTTGCCGAACAATAAAGCTTGATTCCATGAATTTCAACAAAGATCCAATGGATGAAAAATCAAAAGTTCTTGAAGGAGATCCACAAACTCCTCCTGAATGGTCCTTAAACTATGATGATTTGAATAAAGAGATAAGTAAAAATAAGGCAAAGAAGGCAGGAAAGATTGTTGGATATGTCATGATTGGTGTTGCTGTCGTTGTGATTATATGCATTGTAGTTTATTTCGCTTACTTTAGAAAGAAATCCGAGGAGACACATAGTACAGTTGTTTTAGACAATCTCAATAACGATCGAGTAGTATAAAACCAATAATTTTAATAAACACTTAGTTTAACATCTTGCCTTAAAAAAAATGAAATCTCAAAGATAATTTGAAATTTTCTTAAAATTAGATCAATCAATTACAAACTCTATCACCATAATTCAAAGCCCTTTATGAAGCAAGAATCATAAAACACAGAATTTCGTATTAAAATATGTTTTAATTTCTGATTTACATATTTCATATATATACAACTTTAATTCTTAAACGATTTGCTATGTTTCCCATTGGCAATTTCATTGCATAACTTTTAATTGCTGACAAATTGTTATGATAATTTTTGAATTCGAAATTATAGAAATTTAGAACAAATCTTCACAATATGATTCAACATTCTGAAAACAAACCATTGAATTATATAATTTAATTCATTTGATTGAAAATTTCATTGCTCTGAAATTTCAGGCATAGTTTGAAGTGTAAATCATATACATATATGAATGATAATGGATTGACACATGCAATAAAAGCATTTCACTCAATTATATAACTTAATGGCCTTTTTCCGAATGAGTTGATTGTAGATTGATGAATTGGATCAAGGATATCCTAAATATATCACACTATCACATTGAATTTACTTAGCTATTACATGTATAAACAAAAAACTATTGATAAACCCATGAAAAATTTTTACAAATGTGGGAAAATACTCAAATAAAGAGGATTATTATCATACACTAATACTGGGTTGAGTTTGTCACTAGTTTTAGTGAGAATAAGATGCCAATTCATTCAATCATTCAAAGGTTGTAAAATCACGGGCATTCTTTGTATTATGTCATTCTCAAATATAATTTACGCCCCTACTCATTTTTCTTATTGGAGCTATGCTGAACAGAGTACTTTCATCGATTTTTATTTAAAACCGGTAATTTCTCCATAATCGTATTTAATATACGTTGGATTATACTCATCATAAAGAATCGTTTTATATAAAAATTTATGCTCGACATAAATAAATCAGATTATTATCAAATTTCAGAATAATATTGAGAATTTGTTTGTGTGGAAAATAGTCTTTGATTATATAGAAACCATTTTCAACAACTTTCGAATTGAGATAACTCACAATTTTTTCAAGAAAAATTTCGGAGTTTCAAATTTAAATATATTCAGTCTGAAAGATAAAACAATGAGATTATACTTCTATAAATATTCTGAACAACAATTTGAGAGATTTTATATTTTTGAAAACCCGTACACATTTTATATCGTATGCTCTCCAGAAGTGTTCTAGATTCATTCATACCACTCTTGTTGAATTGTGAAGATGCAAAGATGAATTGTACGGGTAATCTTGCCTTACCAAAACTCAAAAGAGATGATTTATTAGCCCTAATGGAAACTACTTACAAGATATTCAACGAAGAACCATCTTTACTCTATCTCTCAGGTGATTTTATTGTAGTTGGAGATATCCATGGAAATTTAAGAGATTTATTAAGGATTTTTAATGATCTTGGAACACCTGCGAACCAAAGGTATATCTTTATGGGCGATTATGTTGATCGTGGTGATCTTTCCGTCGAAGTTGTCGTTTTATTATTATCATACAAAATCGCTTATCCGGAGAATATCTATATGATCCGCGGAAATCATGAGTTCGAACAAATCAATGAATACTATGGATTCAAAACTCAAGTCATCCAGCAATATGATGAAGAAATATTTGATTTTTTCAATAAAGTATTCGCATATTTGCCAATTGCTGCAGTTGTCAATAACAAGTACTTCTTAGTCCATGGAGGTATTAGTCCAAAACTACAAACATTGGATCAAATTAAAAATTTGAAGCGACCGATTACATCTTTTACAGAAGGAGACAGCCATGAACTTGTTTGTGATCTATTGTGGAGTGATCCTTCACATGCGAGTTACTATTACAGTCCAAATCCAAGAGGATTCGGGGTTAATTTTGGAGTTGAAGCCACATTCAAATTTTTAACGATTAATAAACTTTATGGAATCATAAGAGCGCACCAATGCATCACTACGGGAGTTGAAGAGCATTTTGGTGGAAGAGTTATAACTGTTTTTTCATCGAGCTATTATTCACCATATCCTCCAAATGCAAGTGGTGCTATCTTGATTACTAGTTCAGAACTTAAACCAGTGATATATAAGCCATTGCCGCACTTTCAGAAGAATTTTTCTGAATTTAAGTGGGTCCAAGTTGAAGAAACCGTCCCATTATGTTTAAGAAGATTGGGATCAAGTAAGCTTACAAATAGAAGAAGCAACTCTCTCAAGCTTAGACGCTCCTCACATGTAACTGATTCCTCGCATTCACTCAAACTCGAGAAGAAAATCACGATATACAAATCTAGTACAGATATTATCATCCATTCTCCTTCAGCTGATCTTTTACCGATCAATGAGAATAAGAAGACACCACTGAACACAAGCTCCATTCTAATTGAGTAGGAAGGATGTATTACGAGCGTTTTGTTTTGACTAGTAAATGTTTGATATTTAATATTTTTCATTGAATACAGTAATCAATTCGAGTGAACAATGTAAAGGAATGCAAAACGATAATTTTCCTATTGTTTACTCCGAATATCCGACTTTTAATACTAAGACTATAAGTTAACGAAGCTGTGTAATAAAATAACCTAGATTTTTTTGTGAGTAAAAAATAAAACTGCCAAAATTCGAGTAAATAATTTTTTATGATCAGAGTTAATAGTCGATAAAATCTCTTAAAATCGATAATCTATTGAATTTTTTTCTGTGAACAAAAACCCATGGATTATTATTAATTAAAATATATTTTGCTCATGAATTTTTTTATTTACATTTTCCTGAACACAATTCAAATCTCACAAATTTGAAAAATCAAAATTCGAGACCAAAGAAACTTATTGTTTATCAAGGTATGAGATATTTATCAAATTTAACACTAATTTTTGTTGACAGTACAGAATTTTGAATGATCACACTGAATTTTCCTTGCAAAAAATATTCATGATATCCAGAAGCATCATTGATGCTTTTGTGCCTCTTTTTATCAGGAACACTGAACCCGAAACAATTGGTAGAGGAAAGTTAGCTATCCCTAAACTGAAAAAGATCGATTTAGAGCATTTATTGAATAGCGTTATGATTTTATTCAAACAGGAAGACACATTGCTCAATCTCGAAGGAGACTTCAATGTTGTCGGAGATATTCACGGCAATTTACGCGATTGAATCCGAATTTTTAACTATTGTGGATCCCCAAGTTCCAACAAATTCATCTTTTTAGGCGACTGCGTTGACAGAGGAGACATGTCAATAGAAGTTGTTGTCTTGCTCTTTGCCTTTAAGCTTGCTTATCCAAATAATATCTATTTAATTCGTGGCAACCACGAGTTTGAGATCATTAACACATATTATGGATTCCATCAACAAGTTTTATCTTCATATGACGATGATATGTACGATTTATTTAACGAAGTTTTTTCGTATTTACCACTTGGAGCTGTTGTCAATCAAAAATATCTCCTTGTTCATGGTGGTATTAGTCCATACCTTAAGTCTATTGACCAAATTGCAAACATTAAACGTCCAATTACCGATTTTATCGAAGGACCTGACGCAAATTTGATAACTGACATAATGTGGAGTGATCCATCAAGGATTTACAGTCTTTTTCATCCAAGTACAAGTGGATTTGGCTATGTTTACGGCCACGACGCAATGAATGACTTTTTACGTCAAAATACTGTTAAATATGTTGTTCGTGCTCACCAATGCGTTACAAACGGATACGAAGAAAACTTTGGTGGATCTGTGATCACGGTTTTCTCTTCCAGCAATTATTGCACGATGCCCGCAAACTCAAGCAGTATCCTTGGAATTCATCCCGAAGAACCTCATAGAGCATCAGTGTTTCCACCAATAAAACACCTTAGAAAGTTCGAATGCGATTTCAAAATTGTTGATTGTATTGATACAATTCCTCTTTGTAAGAAACTCAATCCAAACACAAAACACAATAGTATGAGGAATTGGCAAATGAGCAAGAGACCTATCCTGTCAACAGCCTTCCCACCAAAGTCTCTCAGACCTGATGATTCAAGATTACTTTCACCATACAACTCTATTGGTATTTGGATGTGTTTTTGTTGTAAACAGAAATTCATCAAAAGTGACACCTCAGAAAAGCTAAAATATTGAATTTTTGGAACTTTTGATAGAGCACGTTTTTAAATATTAATTAAAGTAAATGTATATTTTGTAAAGATTCTTTTTAATAAAAAAATAAAATTTTGAAGAAGAACACAAAATCTTCTGAAAAATAATATCACATAAACTCATACTATTTTCTAATATATAACTATTTTATATAAAAATCAAATTCAATGATCTTAAAAGCGAAGGATAAACCTCAAAATTTACGAATATAATGAGTGGGAATATAATGCTTATCTATCATAAAACCATATGAAATATCAATTTTTGCTTTACGCCTAATTTTTGACGACAATTAGCAAAAAATGTTAAATGTTAACACTCAGTCCATTTGAATATGAAAAATAAAATTGACTTTGATTAAATGTTTTTATTTATCATGCAATTCTTCTTGCGACCAAAGATTTGAATAAAAGTTCAAAAAATAAGATAGCTTAAAAAATAATATACGGTAGTGTTTACTAATAGATGAATAGTATATAAATTCTATTAAAATGGATTTGATCAAAAAAAATATAAAACCAAAAATAATTGTTATAATTTAAATGAAGAAGTAATTTAAAACGATTTTATTTATGATCAAATTTTATATATTTTTTTGGATCAAATCCATTTTAATAGAATTTATATACTATTCATCTATTAGTAAACACTACCGTATATTATTTTTAAGCTATCTTATTTTTTGAACTTTTATTCAAATCTTTGGTCGCAAGAAGAATTGCTGATAAATAAAAACATTTAATCAAAGTCAATTTTATTTTTCATATTCAAATGGACTGAGTGTTAACATTTAACATTTTTTGCTAATTGTCGTCAAAAATTAGGCGTAAAGCAAAAATTGATATTTCATATGGTTTTATGATAGATAAGCATTATATTCCCACTCATTATATTCGTAAATTTTGAGGTTTATCCTTCGCTTTTAAGATCATTGAATTTGATTTTTATATAAAATAGTTATATATTAGAAAATAATATGAGTTTATGTGATATTATTTTTCAGAAGATTTCATTCTATATGCCTATGAAAAGTACCCTCAAAACTAACTTTTTCCTAATTATAATTAAATCTAGAATATTGGATTATGCTTAGTATTATTTCATTTTTCTCATTCAATTTAGAATTTACAAATGTCAAAAAATTGAGAGCTGTCACTTTTGATGAATTTCTGTTTATTACATTTTCAAAATACTTTGTGGCTGCTTTCTTTTTGGTTTGATTTGGTTTAGGTTTGTTTGAGACTGAGATTGTTTCTGATAAAACGTAATTTCAACTGGCTTGCCATTGATGGCTGCATCCCTAAGATCGTTCTGTGCACTTCTGGCATCTTCTTCGCTGTAGAATGTGACTAAACCATAACCGCAAGATTTAAGATTTGTTAAAGGAATCTTGCAAGTAACTAAATTGCCAAAATTAGAGAAAGCATCGTGAAGTTGAGAGACTTCGATGTTTTCTGCGAGACCACGTATTAAAAGAGTGTTAGCATCTGATCTCGCCAGACTCATTGTATAAGGATCACCCCAATACATTCGTATTGGAACACCATCTAGTTTTGTGTAATTGAGTTCTTCGATTGCACGCTTCGCTAGTTCATGAGACTTGAAAGTAACAAAAGCATACGCCTTGTTGGGTTTTGTTTGTTTCTTAACGAAAATAGAATCTGTTGGGAAGTGACCATAATCCTCGAAAAGTTCTTTCAAGAATTGCACATCAATACAAGTGGGAAGATCATCAATGAAAACTTCATTACAGTTTGGATCCATGTGAAAAATGATTTAGTCGGAATTTTTTCATTTTGAATTTCCACTTCACTTCAATAATAATTGGAATTTAATTTTAAATGAAATATTTTTATAAATGGAATATGTATTATTGATTGGAAAATTGGAAATATAAAACTTGATGGAAAATTTTCAAATTCCAATATTATTTTATATCTATAATTGGAATATGTATTAATAATTGGAATTTAAAAAATTTGCCAGTCTTAAATTTTTGACTGAGCAATTTAAAAAAAATTAAGGCGAAGGTGTCAGTAAATGGTAACTGTACCATTTAGCAAATATATAAATATTTTTGATTCTGCAAGGTTATCTAATAGTTATATGAGCGCTCATTGACTTGATTGAAGTGAATCAAATCCCATAATGTACCATCAAGTTTTATATAAGAACTTCAACCAAATTCTGCTAGTTTGAAGTTAAAGAAAGGTAAGATGATCATGAGATTATTTTTTATTTTCATAAAATATCAATATTTAAGTGGTAATCAATTATGAGGCTTGAGGTATATTAAAATTTAAGTGGTAATGGTCTCAAATCTAATGAAGAATACTGATATTTTTATTAACTATAAAATTCTTAGGCAAAAAGCATCATAGTAAATGTGGAATTAACTTTTATTATTATAAGCGATATGTACAATGTAATGTATTCTCATTTTATTGTATTGGATTACCCTAATAAGAATGAATGAAAAGCTATTAATAGCAACTATTCATTATCCTTATATTAACCGACTATTTAGCACGTTTTCGATAGGAAATTTGTAAATTCGAAAAAAAATTGAGCGAATAACCACATTTTACATAAGAATAAAAAAATTGTTGAAATTATATAAGTATTTTGTATTTTGCAATAAAGTTCATTTTTGTCCAGTTGAGAAATGATTCGTTGCTTTGATATTTTATCAAAATATACAAGATTGCTAAAAATCTACCCAATTGTATTTGATTTTTATTTGTGTAACACTAGACAAGTAAGTTTCTGAAGAATTTTGAAAATCGATCATATTTTCATTTCCTCATTGATCGATGAAATATCAAAATATGAATTTTTTAATTATGGAAAGAATATTATAGGTGCATTCATAGACAAGAGTGTATTTTTGCATTCGGAATGATTACAACACCGTATGAATTAACCAATCTGACATCTGTCCAATAAATTTGAATTACTTTTAAAAATTTATAATTCTAATATTCTAATGAATACAAACTTGAAATATCGGTAAGGATTCTGAATTGAAACCTAAAAAATTCACAGAGAGAGAATAATTAATGAGTTCTAAATAGTATAGATTTCGCATTTCGAATGATTTTTCAATTTTTTGATTTTTGAATGGGAATTTTGATAGTATAAATTTTGAAAAGAGACGATAGTTAAGGGTCCACTGTAAAAATTGAAAGTCTCTCAAAATTGAGAGGCGATTTGCAAATAATCGTTATCGTCTTTTTTCGAAAATCCACTTTTCCTAATGTTCTGATTAATATTTTGTGAATGCAATAATGAAGTATATGTTTTTGTAAGATGGTAATATATTCTATAACTTCAAATCGGATAAAAATTGCAAAATCGGCGAGTTTTATAAGAACATGATTTATTCGAATTTTTTCGCTTTTGGATGCGTGTTTTGAAAAATAGATATTTTCGAATTTTGATTTTATCTTAAGAATAAGTTTTATATTAGGAATTTTTTGACCTATTTCCAATCATTAATTCCGATGTTTTTTTAGGAATTTATTTGAGAAGAAATTAGGAATTTCGCTTTTATGCTATTACAAACTAATATTATGATGCATGTAGTTTATATTCATTGAGGCCAATGCCGGGATATCTTGCATTAAAAAAAAATTCAAAGAATTGACAATTAGATAGCACAAATTTAATTCTCTAGACAAAGTATTATTGCTTATATATTCAAAACATTATCCTTAGTTTTGATATGTTGGCCAAAAATTTTCGTATTATTTTTTGTGTTTAAGCATAAATTATGTATTTACTTATGAAGGATAAGCATTTTATTCATTGTCATAAATATGTACCATAACAAATTGATAAAATTTTAAAAAATTGTGGATTTTAGCGGGTATTATTCTGGCCAATACCCGTTGTTACAAGATTTAATATTAACCATATCAATAGCAGACTCAATGTAAAAATTTAGATATATTTTTTTTCATTATTCAAACTTTAATAAATTTTAGTATAATGAATGATTTTGTTTCGTGTATGATACAGAAATGAAAAGCTTAATTAATATTATTTTGCATTTTTTCAAGAATGTTAGAGTATATCTACATTAAAAAATCAGATTCGAACTGCGATACTGCATCAAATTGATGCATATCTGATAAGGATCTCAAAAGAGTAAAGTTAATTTTTTTGAGTTTTTTTAAGTTTTGGGCCTGAGTAAAACACCATCTCGAGCAATATTTTTGGGACGACGATAGGCCTTATTTGGCCTCACAGTGGACCCTTAACAATATAAAAACAAAATTTATTCTTAATTAACAACTAATAACAATTACTTATTTTCTATATCATTGATTAAAGAATTAACAGTTGAAATAATTCTTTGATTTGGTTCGGGTGAATCAATAATTTGGTCACCTGCCATCATCTCTAACCATGCATGATTGAGAATTTCATCAGCATCTGGTCGAAAATCTGGTTCGATCGATAACATCTGGCTTAATAAATCTTGAAGAATATCGGATTGATTATCATCAAAAATAATCTCTCCACGGCATATCTGTGATTGTATGTCTTCCCAGATACTTTCTACGGGCGTTGATTCATTAACTGTCCACGGCATATGATTAGCAGTCATAGCGTAAAGACATATACCAGCTGTCCAGATATCAGCTTTATATTTATCAAACGCTTTTTCTTGCAGGATTTCCGGGGGCATATATACGAAAGTGTTTCCTGAGCTAGTTACTGGCCGCCTATAAATTCCAAACTCTGTGATTTTGATTGTATCATCATCTAGCACCCGAATATTCTTGAGCGAAATTTCTTTGTGGGCAATTCCTCGATGATGTAAATATGAAATTCCGCTCATGATTTGTTTAAAATATTTGCTGCGGTTTGTTCATCAATACCATTATTTTCCTGTACAATGCTATCAAGTGTGGTCCCAACAAAGCTATCAAAAATGGTGTAAATGTTATTGGAATCGATCAAAACGTCGACTAGCTTCACAATATTTGGATGGTTAATTTGGGCATTTAACCTGATTTCATTTTTAAATGCTTGTAAATGCTGAGGATTATTTTTAATATCCATCGGAATTACTTCGCATGAGTAATCGATGTTATTAAATCGGTCATGGCACTTACAAATAGACCCAAAAGCTCCTGATTCGATGAGATTGTCTATTGAATAGTTCGACAGTGACATTCTGAAGATACTATATGAAATTGAAAAAAGCCGTCATCGTACCAGAATTCATTGAAAAATCGAAAATTTTTTGTGAAACACTCACAAAAATTCAAACCTGAAATATTAAGAGAAGTGTATATAGTTCATAATTTTCAAGAATTTTTGATTTCGATAGGTAAACCAAAAATTCATAATTTTGTATGCCCTTTATTGCATACCATAATTCTGCATTTTTATTTTTCACAAAAAAACGTTCAAGCTCTCAAACACAAAAATCAACGAGATTATCACTCCAATACTAAAAGGTGAAAAATTGAGGACTCATCGGCCCTATATACCGCTTCAATTACCAATAGATGATTTCTTCAGTGAATGTTAAGCATACAAGTACACAATTTGGATTCGTTTTAATCAAAAATTAAGACAAAATGATTAATTTCATACGCACAGATTAAAATTTTGTTGAATCATTGCATCCATACTAGGTCAGAAATGCAAATCCTCTTTACCGAAATTTTTTTATTGAAAAAAAATTAATATTAAGCGGAAGTTATCGATTTTAATGTAACCATATAAATATCCGATGATAATACATCACATTCCTCATTTCGTTAATCATTTTTTCATAATTTATTTTCAAAAAATATAAAAACAAAAGATTCGATAGTAATATGAATCAATTAATAATATTGATCATATTTAATAGATGAAAATAATACAAAATGATACCTTTTCCGATAGTTATTTTCATGATTATAAGAATTAAAATCTTTTAAATTTACAATGAAAAAAAAAAATATATTCATGAAATGAGGATCTACGATTTTGAAAAATATTGTTTCCTTAAAAATATTGTGAATGTGAATACCTCACAGTGTTTACTCAATAATTTTTAAAGAAATCCAATCGAATGATTTCAAATGATCAATCAATACCTAATACATGTAGCATTATTTTGATTGCATACTCTAATCTCCCTGAATAGAATTTGATATTTTAACAAATATCAAATATGATTCGCATTTCTATTAATATTAATTGAACCTCTGTTATAGATTTTTGATAACTATGTCAAAATGGAAAAACGCAATAAATTTCAAAAAAATAATGTATCAAGATCGAACATAAAGTAGTTTTTTAGAATGTCTATTAAAATCTAAATAATTTATTATATTTAATTTTGAGTGAAAAACTTTTAGTTTAGAAAAATTCTAAAAATAGCATAAAATTTACAAAAACTGAGGATTCAATTCAATATTCTGCAAATGCAAGAGAAAAATTTTTAATACTAAAAACAAGATATATTCACATTATTCTCTCATATGCGATAAAAAAAAATATGAATACGTTCGATATTATTAAGAAATTTCTTCATTTTCAGAGGTAATTACAATCAATTCAATTTCATCTAGAATTAAACTATTGAATGAATCAATAAAAACCTCAAATAATCATAAATTTTGAATATTTTATTCCTAATTTTTAATTTTTAAACATTAAAATCTATATACTAGAAATTAATATCATAATAAACCGATGAACTTTAAATATAAGAACAAAACAGAAATAATTTCAAACTCTGCAGTTGATATTCAGGATCCTTTTCATTCCATCCTGCATAGCAGAAAGAACTTGGTAGTGGAACTCTTCGCCACCCATTGTACACAAGATTCCTTTGTCGCTATCCTTAACTTTTCCGTCTGTTGTGTATTCGAGTGGTTTTCCAGTACCATCTGTAACAATGCCTCCGCAAAGGCGAACGAAAAGCTCAAATGGAGCAACATCCCAGACATATTCTAATGCTTTGTGGATTCTTGCATAGATGTTACACTCACCTGAGGCAAGAATGAATCCTTTTGTCATTGAAGGCATACTTACGATCTTGTCAACATCAAACGTAGTCTTAAGAACGTTCTGGACTCTTCCTAAGCCGTTTGTAAGTAAACCTTTCTTAATTTCTGTTGGGCGAGTCATATCTATTGTGTTGCCTTGCATATCCATAGCCCATGCACCAGCATTCTCCACAGCAATGAAGATGACTGGGCCGTTGATTGGAATTCCTGTGAATTTCGGATCATGAAGGGGCCAGGCAGTAATTGAGCAGACAACATGAAGATCTACAAGAAGAGCTGATGCAATTGCGTAAGAATCATTGACGACAAAGCCTGCTGTACCATCAATTGGATCAATAACCCAAACACGGTGGTTTTCTGGTCCAAACTTCTGGATAGCCTTTTCACAGGCCTTTACAGGATCGAGATTGTTTGGAAGGAGGCGTTTTACCATTGTAAGAAATTGTTCATTGCATTTGTTCATATTTTCTTCACCGTAGACATCATCACCAGGAAGCATACGATTGATTCCATCCATGATGATGGCTTGTGTTGCGTAATCTGCAATAGATACAAAAGATCCGTCTTGTTTCTTCTTGATTTCATCCATTTCAAGATCCTTTTGGATAGCTAATGTAAGTGGTATTGCTGTTTTCATGATTTGGACAAGGGTATTGACTTCTTTAGTGTATGCGCCAAACATAATAATAAAATCTGAAATTTTTTGAATACTAGTTTGGTCGAAATTTGAATGAATTTGAATGAATTGACGACCTAATAATTTTATCAATCACAAATATTAACATATGCATTAAGAGGATTTATTTTCATGAAAATTTATCGTTAAAAATTTAATAAAATTTATCGAAAATTATATTGGAATTTAGCTTATTATTCAATGTTCATCAAAGCCATCAAGGATTCTCAAAATTTCAAATAAAAATCAATGAAGTCTAATTTTATATCGGCAATACTCATAATTGCTTTTACAAAAGACAATTTGGAAAATTGATGATTGGACTATCACAAATTTATTCTCAAAATCATTCTCTCAATTTTATTTTCTTCATCATCAATCACCTTGTTATATAAATATTGAAATAAATTCATGAAATATTTCATGAAATAAAAATAACCGAAAATCAATCAACCTTTTTTTTTTCAGTTGTTCACATGTCATCATTATATTCTTTGCTTCAAAATTGCTCAAATGTGCATTAAAAAAGACGTGCAGAATCCGAAGTTGCGCTATCCATTATATTTAGCTAATTTTGAATTTGAATTTAATCAATCTATATAATGTTAGTTGAATCAATAGCATATACATAATATATGACCTCTCAATATGCTATTTATCAGATCAAATATATAGAATTTCGATATTTCAGGTTTCAATAGATTAATTAAAAATAAAATATCTTAATATGATACCAATTATAATGATTTCCATGAATAAATACATATTTTTAAATTTAAAACGGATTCATGATTTTTTAACCAAAATTATTCGCTCATTTTCTCAATTTAGATTTGAGAATCAGAATTTTTATTTATTTCATTAGCAAATAGTTAATTTTCACCTTTTCATTTGTTGAATCTCATTTTACAAAAATCAAGATCTTATTACTGAATTTACAATATTTACTTTTAAGCTCTTGTTTATCTAATCTATTCTTTGAACTAATTTGATCTCAATTTTGCTTAGAATAGTTTTTTTTCCCGAAATGAATCATTTTTGTTATAATGCATTGCTTCTGTTTAAGGGTGCACTTACCACTTTCTGACACTCTCTCAAAAAGAGATATACGGGCGCGAAGAGGCATAGAAAATAAAACCTTAAACAAGAAATTTGAGAGAATGTCAGAAAGTGGTAAGTGCACCCTTAAACAAACTTTTATTTAGTGAAATATTCAGAAAATGTTTCTTCAAAAAATGAACTGGAAAGACATTTCAAAATAGTAATATGAATCTTAATGTGTTTGATCTTAGTTCGTTGGTTAATGATGAATGAGAAATAACATTCACCTGAAATCGTTGTAGAAAAAATGTTTTCGAATTCGTCTGTTTTTAATAATTCTGTGTTTAAAAGTCTTGTAGATCCTTGTATTTCGACAAAACTGTGGATTAAATAAAAGTGTAAACCAAAATATGAAGAAAATGTGTTTGCTGCTGTGTTGTTCTTAATGATACTATCGATTATAGATAAAGAATGAGAAGATGCATAAAATAATTCATCTGATGCTTTATTATTCACGAAATTGGATTTTATATATGAATATGGTTTATCTCCAGAAAAATAAATGCAATTTGTATTTGCAGCTGAATTGTTTATTACTGATGTTTGTGAAATATTTCATGTAGTATAATAACCATCAATAAAAATTCCACAACTTTGATAAGTTATGCAATTAGAAACGTTTGCATTATTTATGATAACTTCACCGTAACTATGATAAATTGGTGAATATCCATTTGATTTGCCTAAATCAAAATATGAAGAAAGAAAATTGTAATTTTTGTATGGGAGAGAATTTGATGGTAATTGTATGTAGCAGTGGTGTCCATCTCTACCTGTGGAGCAGTTATATGAACAAATTTTGCATTGAACAAAATCTATATGGGCAGAGATGTATATATTTCCGCCATATCCATCAACATAATTCGAATGAAATAATGATGATTCAAGAAGAATTTTAATACTTTTGACATCACCATTTTCAAAATAAATGAACCGAGAACATTTTGATGAAGAAACTTCTGATATATAATAACGATGAGGATCTGAAAAGTTTCCTGTGAAGGAACTATCATTGTTACCATCATAAAATTCTTCCCAACTTTGTTCGAAATTCATAATCTTTTATCAAATTTCTTTTTTCGGAACTAAATTTTTATGCAAAAATTGGTCAACAGTAAGTAGATTTTTTTTTGAGATGGTTAATTGGAAATCTTCGAATTGCCACTTTTTAAGGGAGGCTTACGACCAGATAAGGTTCTCAATTTTTTGTGAAGTTTACAAGAAAAGTGAGATTCGTTAAGGGATCACCGCTTTAGTTTACAACTATTCAATTTTCGACACTTCGAGGTCTATTTTCTCTTGATAGAATAGATATCATTCTGCATAAGCATGACCATAACATGTTCATACCATTATCTACCTATTTGTCGTTTCAGATATCAAAAAGAAGAGATTCAATCAAAACCTTAAACATTGGAGTTTTCACTGAGGGCCCGCTGATCAAGATTTCTCAAAATTGGTCCATCCGATGTTTATTTTTTATTGAAATAATATGTTTAAATATGATTAAGAGTCTATATCTTCATTATTGAAAAAAGTCAACAACCCAAATCAAATATTCACCACATTAGATATTTGAATACTTTTTTCGAAAATTTGTAGATAAGATAGTATTGTATCATTGATTATATATTTCATAATATTGGTCGCCAATTCTTTGTTGTTATACCATTTTTAAAGCAAATGTTAAAAATTGAATAGTTGTAAACTAAGGCAGTGATCCCTTAAGCGTTTTTCTCGTTGAATATCAAGTTTTCCCGAATTTTAGTTATTCATAAAGCACCTCTATATTATCCCCTATCTACCGATATGATTATTTTTCAAAAAGCTAGCACATTAGTGAAAAAAGATTTTTTTTCGAAAAATTTTTAAATTCTATTGCAATAAGGTTATTTTTGAAAGACTTCAGAAATTATTTACTAAATTTTCGTGTGAAATATTGATTGCAATAGAATCCCAATCATTCTTGCAAAATTTGAGCTTTGTTAAAATTTTGCAAGAATGATGATAATTTTCTAGGCGTTTTCGGTAACGTTTTTTTATACAAAAGAACCAAAAAAATATTTTTTGAAGAATGATTTGGATAGAATACTTTGCGAAAATTATTTTTATTATAATTTTGGTCGATAAATACTGGCGGATTCAATTTTGGCAAACCTCCAAGATTTCATTTTTGGACGATTCCGAATGGTGTACTTTTTGAACTTTAATTGGAAAAACAGATTTGTCGATATATGGAGATATTAAAATACTTAGTTTAAAAATTCTATGTCAAATCGTCACCTTTTTCTCACTTTTTTCAGCTATTTTTTATTAAAATCTAATTGTAAATTAATGGGTAATATATTATACTATTTTACTTTTTCAAAGCTATATCAATTTTTTGAGAGAAATTTTCAAGTTCGGAATTTGGATGAAAAGTGAAGATATTTCCAAATGTGTTATTGTGTAGAACTATATTTCTCAAATTGAAACATTTTTCTTTTTCATAATTTTAATGTAAAGAAACACATTTCTACAACTTTTAACAACATATTCTCTAGTACAGTCACCACGCACATAGGTTAAAAATTATAAAGTCTCCCTAAACAAACGTTCGGAATCGTTTTTTCAAGATTATCAAATGCGTTATATTCTCAAAATCAAATGAAAACACGACGCATATTATAGCATACTAATGATATTTAATTTAATACTGATTTCAATCTAATTTTCTCATCATATACATCATAATAAAATTAACTTAATCAGTCATGTATGTCTTATAATTCAACATCGCTTATTCATTAGATTACTTTCTGTATGAGTTTTAGTTTTGAAATGATAGTATTTAGTTAATTTGAATTTAGAATTTTAAATTTTTGAAAGAATTAGAAAGTTTGAGCGGTAGGACATGAACCTTTATACTGTACTGAACATTTTTAGCTTTCATCATTTTTTTTGGTTTTCGGGACCTTGGGACCTTGCGAAATTGCATTTTCCCATCAAGGTCCAAAAAGTGACAATTGGCTGTAAGCCTCCCTTCAGAAACAAATACTCCTTAAATTTATTTTGATCCATGTTTTAATCATATTTGTCTTATTGTTCGGTAATATCAACGGGAAAGTAACTATGGTAGTCTCAAAATTTGCGGTCCGGACTCAGAAAATTAAGGTTCTAAATTCTGCACACTTAAAATAAAAATATAAATAACAATTAATTTTATTATAAAGCAATACATAAATAAAATTAAGACATCTTCTTAGTAAAAAGTGGATGTTCTGGAACTGCAACTTTAAGTGAAACTAATGTGCGTGAAACACGATCAATTCGAGATAAGATCTTCTTAGTTTCTTTATCAACATTCAAGATTTGATTTTGCAAGTCTTTGATTTGTTCGTTGTATTCATTAATAACACTTGAGTTGATTAATTCGTCATTGATCTCTTTTGGCGAAAACTTGTCACGAACTAATTGTTCCATACGTTCGCATGCTTCTTTCGACTTCTCTAGTTCTTGCTTTGCAAGATTGACGTTTTCTTCGGAATATGTAGAACTCTTGTCGTCAATCATCTTAGACAATTCATCGATCTCTTGTTGGAAGTTCTTGACTCGTTCTTTAGCTGTTTTCTCCATTGCTTTGTTAGACTCAAGAACTTTCCACAGCTTAGGAACATCTGGCTTTCCTTTCCTTCGTTCTTCTGCAAGTTCTTTGTTCTTGTTATCTAATATCCATCTCAAGTCCTCAACTTTGCATCTCAACTTCTTCTCAACAGGACCAAGTTCTTTAATTTGCTGTTCAAGTTGTGATGTCATCTGTTTCATGTTGTTGATCTCTTGTTCAACATTGATGCGCTGCTGATGTTCTGGTGAGATGTAATCACTGCCCGCACGGTATCGATCAATATAATTATCAAGTTTAGTAACTTCGTTTGACAATTCTTCGTTTTCTTTGTTTCGAAGTTCAAGAACTTCTCGTTTTTCTTGCAATCGGCGTCGTTCAACTCTGATGATTGCTTCGTTCGATCGTGATGTAGATATCTGGTTGTTGTTCTCTGCAATCTTGCTCTTCTTGCTGTTCAAGTCTCTCAACGACATGTCTGTGTTGACTGACACATCACACTTTGGAGCAACAGTACGAATGGAATAATTGAATGAATCAATAGAGCAGTTAGATTTGTTTTCGTTTCTCTGTTTGGCTTCGAACTCAAGAAGTTTCAACTGCATTGCAAGATCTGCAATTTCTTCGTCATATGCTTGGATGTCGACAATGGCGTCGTTGATTTTGAGACGTAATCGAGCTCTGTCGATTTTATGGGACATTGTTTTACGAACAATATGGCGTTTGAAAGCTTCATCTGTTGGTGATGTAGGCGTGCGCAATATTGAGTCTGGAACTTTTGATTGTTGGAGAGGAGTATCACGTGGAGAAACTGGAGGACTCATTTGAAGAGAATCTTGTGGATGATAATCGTTAATTTCGTCATTATCTTCTTCTTCGTCATTTAACATCAATGTATCAATTTCATCTACACGAACACCATCTGGAACACTTGGTGACTTGTATTTCTTGATCAGTTTGACTTTAGGAATGGATTTTGGATCTTTCCTAAGTTGTTCTTTCTGATCATCTGTTAAATGAATTCTGTGTTTCCTTCGTTTAGCTTTTTCTGCTAAAAACTCTTCTTCTGTCTTGCCTTTCTTAGGAGATCGGAATGACGAAAACATTGACTTTGATGGTGAATCTTTGACTCCTTTTCCTTCATCATTTTCATTTTTATTGTTCTTATTGCTTTTATCATCTTTGTTGTTCTTTGGTTTATTATTTTGATTGTTCTTGTTGTTTTTATTGTTTTTGTCTTTGTCAACAGTTGATTTGATATCTGGCAAAATATTAAAGTTGTTCTTTGGTTCAATATCATCTTTGTCGTCATTGTTATTGTTGTTTCGTGGCTTTCTGATGCAATATTTATAAGATCGTTTAGGAACAGGATCGAGTTCTTCGTAGTCATCGTCATCTTCGTTTTTATCTTGTGGTGAATCAATGATTTGGTATTTTGGTTTAGATCTTGGTCGAAGTTTGATGTTTCCGTTTTCATCTTTGTATTCTTCCATTTGATCCTCGTCTTTCGTTGGCTTGATTTCTAATTTAGGCATCTTCAAATCTTTTTCATCATTATCAAGTTTGTTTTCATCATTTTCGCCTTCTTCTGTGTCTCCTGCTAATGAAACTGCAACTTTGTTGATTGATGGTTCTTCTTCTGGCTCATTGTTTCCTGTCTTCCTCCTTCTCTTTCTCTTCTTTCTTGAGCCATCAGCATCTTCATCGTTTTCTTGTTCTTTGTCTTCATTTTCAAGTTCTTTCTCTTTATCTCCTTCGTTTTCATTTTCATCTTCATTTGCTTTGGCTTTTGATCTTCTGTGTTTCTTTCTCTTCTTGTTTTCAGGGTTTTCATTGTTATTAAGAGACTTCTTTGATGATGTTGCTGCATTTTCATTTTCTTTGTCATTGTCATTTCCTTCTTTGTTATTAAGGTCTTTATTATTTAATTCTGCGTTTGAATCAATTTGATCTTCATTATCTTTGTTTGATAAATCTTTCTTTGAATCTCCTTTGTCATTGTTATTTTCTTTAGAAATATCTTTCTTTGATGAATTTGCTTCGTTTGATTGATTTTCTCCTTCATTTTGTTTGGAATCATCTTTACTTAATAACTTGTCTGCATCAATTTGAAGGGAAAGATCTTTCTTCGATGAGTTTGCGTCATCATTAAGTTTGTTGTTATCTTTGTTTGAAGAGTTTCCTTCTTCGTTTTGTTTAGAAAGATCTTTAGATGATTTCTTTGCATCTTCATTCTGTTTAGATGATTTATCTTCTTTGGAAAGATCTTTCTTTGATGATATTTCTTCAGGTTTAGAATCATCTTTATTTGATAACTTTTCTTCTTCATTGTTTTGTTTAGACTTATCTTTGTTTTCATCATTGTTTTGATTAGAAAGATCTTTCTTCGATTCATTTTCAGATTTTTCATTTTGATTTTGTTTAGAAATATCTTTCTTTGATGAGTTTTCACCATTTTCAAGATCTTTCTTTGAATCTAAAGCTGATTTAGAATCATCTTTATTTGTACTTTCATCTTTCTTGGATTGATCTTTCTGAGAATCTTTCAAATCTTTGTTCGATTTAATTGATTCATTTTCATTGTTTTGAGAATCTTTGTTATTTTCTTCTAATTTAGAAAGCTCTTTATTGGATTTATCTGCATTTTCATTATTGTTTTGGAGATCTTTATTTGATTTTTCATCCTGATCTGATTTGTTGCTTTGAAGATCTTTGTTGGATTTAGTTTCATCTTTTTCTTTATCTGATTTAGAAGCAGCAACTGCAGCAGCTGTTCCTAAAACAGCAGCAGCAATAAGAGCTTCTTCTGATGGTATTTTTCCTTTATCTTCAATATCTTTGTTTTCTTTTCCTTCTTCTTTGGATTTGTCTAAATCTTTGTTTTCTAAATTCTTCATTGATTCTTCATTTGAATTATTTTCATTAGATTTATCATCATCTTTGATAAGATCTTTCTTCGATGAATTTGCTTTATCTTTTTCATTTTCATTCTTTGATTCTGCTTCATCTTTCTTTGAATCTGACTTGGAGTTTTCTAATTCTTTATTTGATCCATCTGCAACTAAATTCTTCTTCGAATCCTTTGCATCTTCTTGTGATTTCTCATTTGAGTCAGGTTTATTGCTCAAGTCTTTCTTAGATGAATTTTCATTTTCTTGAGAATCCTTCTTTTGTTCGTTATTTTGCAAATCTTTCTTTGAAGATTTCGATTGATCTCCTTCTTTCTGCGACTTTTCATTTGACTGATTCTGAAGATCCTTTTCAGATTTTTCTGCATCAACTTTAGATTTGTTTTGAAGATCTTTTTCAGAATTATTTTGTAAATCTTTCTTGGATGAATCAGCAGCCTTTTCATTACTCTGTAAATCTTTCTGGGATTTCTTTTCATCTTCATTTGTAAGATCTTTATTTGATTTAGTTGCATCTTTATCAGAAAGATTCTTTTGTGACTTAACTGCATTTTCTTCATCTTCTTTATTAAGATCCTTGTTTGTCTTATCAGCACCACCTTCTTTGTTAGTTTCATCTTTATTGTTAAGATCTTTCTTTGATTTGTTGGCATATTCTTCTTCATTTTGAAGATCTTTGTTTGATTTCGTAGCATCTTTATCTTGTAAATTGTTCTTTGATTCATCTTTTGATTGATTACTCAAATCCTTTTGTGATTTTTCAGCATCTTTGTCCTTGTTATTAAGATCTTTTTGAGATTTGACAGCATCTTCGCCGTTTTGAAGATCCTTTTGAGATTTTTCTGTTTCTTTGTTATCCAAATCTTTCTGTGATTTGTTTGCTTCATCTTTAGAAAGATCTTTTTGTGACTTTTTGGCATCTTTATCTTCGTTAGCAAGATCATTCTTTAACATATCTTCTTCATCCTGAAGATCTTTCTGAGATTTGTTTGATAAATCTTTCTGTGATTTTGTTGAATCTTTTTCTTTTCCATCAATATCCTTTTGAGATTTAACAGCATCTTCTCCATTTTGAAGATCTTTTTGAGATTTATCAGTTTGCTGATCTTTTTCTCCATCTTTATTTTGAGGATCTTTCTGAGAAATAGCTGCAACTAACTCTCCTTTCAAACTCTTATCTGATTTAGAAGCATCATCAAGATCTTTCTTTGACTTATTTGTTTCATCATCTTTGTTATTGTTAAGATCTTTGTTTGATTTATCATTTTCATTTTGCTTTCCTTCATTGTCTTTATTAGATAAATCAGAGTTTTTGTCAGCATTGATTTCTTTCTTTGATGATGTTGCATCTTTATTATTTGATTCATCATCATCTTTGTTTTGAAGGTCTTTCTTTGATTCATCTCCATTTTCTAATTTTTCTGCGTTATTAAGATCTTTCTGAGATTTGTTTCCAGCATTTTCAAGGTCTTTGTTTGATTTGTTTGCAGCATCTTTGAGTTCTTTCTGAGATTTAGATGCATTATTTTCTTCATTATTTAGATCTTTCTTGGATCTATTTTCTTCTTCATTTCCTTCTTTGAGATCTTTCTTTGACTTAGTTGCTTCATCTCCTTTAACTCCAAGGTCTTTCTTTGACTGATTTCCTTCTTTATTTTCATTATTTTGAAGATCTTTCTGAGACTTATTGGCATCTTTATCTTTGTTGTTTAGATCTTTATTAGATTTAATAGCTTCTTCATCTTTGTTCTGAAGATCTTTCTTTGATATATTGGCATCTTTGTCTTTGTTGTTTAAATCTTTTTGAGATTTAACTGCATCTTCATTATTTTGCAGATCCTTCTTTAACTTGTTTTCTTCATCATTTTCATTGTTTTGAAGATCCTTATTCGATTTGTTAATATCATTTTGATCATCTTTGAGATCTTTCTTTGATTTATTTGCATCATCTTTTGCATTTTGAAGATCTTTTTCTGACTTCTTTGCATCTTCATTATTCAGATCTTTCTTAGACTTATTTGCATTATCTTCCTTTTCAATGTCTTGAAGATCTTTCTTTGATTTGTTTCCTTCTTCTTTTTCGTTGTTTTGAAGATCTTTATTAGATTTATTTGCTAAGTCTTTTTCATTTTGAATATCTTTCTCTGTCTTGTTTTGGTCATTATCAAGATCTTTCTTTGACTTAACAGCTTCATTCTCTTTTTCATCGCCTTGGAGATCTTTCTTTGACTTATTAGCATCATCTTTGTTTTGCAAATCCTTCTGAGATTTAATTGCTTCATTTTCTTTTTCATTGTTCTGGAGATCTTTGCTAGATTTAACAGCATCTTTTTCTGTAGCATTAAGATCTTTCTTTGACTTGTTTGCGTCATTATTTTCATTATTTTGAAGATCCTTCTTTGACTTGTTTGCGTCATTATTAAGATCTTTCTTCGAAGAAACAGCGTCATTTTCGTTTTCTTTGTTGTTGAGATCTTTTTGAGATTTAACTGCATCATCTTTGTTTTGAAGATCTTTGTTTGATTTAACGGCTTCATTTTCTTTATCTTTCTTTGACTTGTTTGCGTCATTATTAAGATCTTTCTTTGAAGAAACAACATTATCAGCATCATCTTTAAGAGCTGCACTAACTTCAGATTCATTTTCTTTGTTTTCTGTACCAAGATCTTTTGAAGAAGTTTTAGAATCTTTCTTTGAATCATTATTATCTTTATCATTCAAATTTGATCCATTATTTAGATCTTTCTTTGAATTTGTAGCATCTTTATTGTTTTTGTTCTCTAAGTCTTTCTTTGACGAAAAAGCATCTTTATCTCCTTTTTCTGCCATATCTTTCTCCAATAATTTATCATTATCATTATCTTTGTTTGCATCATTTATTTCATTCAAGTTCTTCTTTGAAGATGTTGCTGATTTGTTTTTATCATCTCCATGAAGACTTTTCCTTGAAGATGTTGCAGATCTCTTTCCTTCTCCATGTAATTTCTTTCTGGATGATGTAATTCCGGCTTCATCATCATCGATACTGTCAATGTTCATTGCAACATTTTCTAAATCTTTCTCATCAAGACCATCAAAATTATTCTTATCTCCATCTTCCTCTTTATTTTCGCCATTTAAGTTTTTGTCACTTTTACACTCATCTTCTTTGTCACCTTTATTAAGTTTGTCACTTTTGACTCGGTTGTCACTTTTACCATCAATGTCACCTTTATTAAGTTTGTCACTTTTGTCATTAATGTCACCTTTATCATTAATGTCACTTTTGACTTTGTTGTCACTTTTGTCCGGATTTTGATTTTCTGTACCAAGGACTTCGTTGACGGAATTTTTGAGAGCTTCCATAGATGGAGAGATTTCGTTGATCTTGTTATTGTTCACATTCTTGTTACGAGATGATCTGCCGCTGCGACGAGGATTATAAGTCATTTCGGTTTGTGGCTGAAGGGCTTTGGCCATGTTTTCCTTTGCCATCTTACGAATCTCTTCGATATCATCGTGATTCATGTCATCCATTGATGGCTGGCTCAATTCTTCAAAATTATTTATTGGATTACTTCCTTCTGCGTTGCTTTCTTGCTCTTTCTTAGCATCTAACTTCTTCTTTGTATATTGTGAACGTGGATTCTTAGTCGGTGGACGCAAAACTCCGTCATCATCAACAGAATCTGATATTCTGCGCCCGTTATCAGATGCAGTTGAGAAGTGTGCGTGGCGAGCAGATGGAGGAAGCTGATGAGCGTTTGCAGGATGCGAATTCATCTTATTTGTATTCGCAATTTGAGGTCTTACGTAAGTTGCTCTGAGTTTCTGCATTGAGTTAGTTATTCCACTGTTGTTTCTTGAAGATTGAGATGTCTGTGGCTTGGATTGCTGATTATTTAGGATTTCTGAAAAGTCTTTATTTGTTTGATTGCCTTTTGGAGTCTTGAATCTACCAGATGATGCTGGTGTTTCCCTGAAACTTGACCTTGATCTTGAATCTGCCGTTGAAATGAAGGTTTCTTCGTCAGATCTTGGAGTATATGGCTCTGAAAAGAACATTTCTGAGTCGGATATATTGAATATACTGTTTTGGAATGTGTTTGGACTGGATCCAAGACCAACTCGTTTTTCTAATAAAGGAACCATTGCTTGTAAACGTCTGTCTAGTTCTTCGAAGTCCATATCACCACGATCAAACATGTCTGGATGTGCTCCAAAGATTGAAACTCTCATTTTATGAGATGATTCAACTTGGTTTTGTAATTTACGGAGGATATATTGATAATTTTGATCCAAAACTATTCCAGACCTTTCAAGCATAAGAATAATACGATATGCCTCATCCGTAAGTTCTTTATTCATTGATATCAATTCTTTTGAAAGGCCGTTGAGGTTTTTAACTCTAGAAATGACTTGAGTTTCTCGTTCTACCTTATAATTGCACTTTTTGGCCTGTGATCTAAGGTGTTCGATGTACTTCTCGAGGCGTTCAATTTCGTTATTAAGATTTTCGATAGCTAAGCCATGCGTTTCCTTCGATGCACGATTTTTGAACTGCTCAAGCCGGAATTGAGCATTTTTATGAGCTTGCTTGTAAGTTTCTAATTTTGCCGAATTATCTTGAATGTATTTTTGGAGATTTAGTAAATGCTTCTTTCTTTCGGAAAGACCATCATTAAGCTGTTGGTTTGCATCAACAACTGCCGTTGTTTCTACTGTCAAGCGGTTATTAATATTTAAGTTATTATCTTTTTCTTGTGAAAGTTGCCAAATCATCTCCTTCAAGTGTCTTCTTTCTGATCCTCTATGAGTGACCAACTTTGGCTCGGGCTTGCTTCCAGCTGATATCAAAGAGAAAACAGAAGTCATTCAATAATGCTCAAAATTGGATAAATTTCTAACGAAATTATTTTAATTTTGAAAAATAATTTTGAAAATTATTGATATCATTTTATTGTACATTGTTTGTATTTCAACGATAAATTTAAAACAGCACGAAATAATGAGTGTTTCAAATAATTCGATTCAAATTTTATAGATAATTAAGCATTTTACAAATTTTTATAAAGTATACTTAATGAATATTTTAAATTTTCGATAACACAAGATAGTTCGTTACAAATTTATCCAACAGAGTCTCCCCCTGCATTTATTAAAATTTCTCTGTAGATAAGAAAAGCAATTGATTTGGTATAATGTCCATATTGTGGACACATATCTATTTCATTCCCATAACCTTTGGGGCATTCCAGAACTAATCACATTATTTGAAGCAATACAATCTGTGGTGAGCAAATAAGCTTTACAGATTTAAATGCAATGATTCACTTATTGTGCAATGATAATACAAATTTAAGAGAAAATTGAAATTATTTGGCACTCCAACAAAGTTCAATGATTTATTTCTGTGAGTAAAAAGGTTTAGTGCTTTGAATAATTTACATTTCTAATGCTGAAGGTATCTTTACTGAGAGTGATATAAAAAATAAAATATCAAATTTGAGAGTAATATATGACTTCATTAGATTTCAAAAATAATAATAAAAAAGATTAAAATTATTAAAAAATTTCAAAGAATTTTTTAATTTAAGGAAGTGGGACTTGTTCGTCATCATTGTTAAGTTCAATGTTGACGTCATCCTGCTTTTTCTGTTGTTCGCCCTGTTTTGGTTCACCAGGATCGACTTGGTCAGGGTTATTTTCTTGGTTATTCGTAGAATTCAAAGTTTGAACAGGCATTCTCGCTTTGACTTTCTTTTCTCTCAAGAAAACGAAGTAAACAACAAGCAAAACAATCAATGCTACAGCCAGTATAGCTACAACAACAATCAAGCCTGTTTCTGTTCCATTTAGTTTCTTCGAAGCTTCATTATTTCCTTGATTATCCGGCTGAGGAGTTGTAGTATTTGTTGTATTTACATCTGTGTTTTCTTCAATTTCATCTTCAAGGCATTCCAATATCTTAAGAACTTTCATTCTATTTGGAGATTTTTCGAAAGGAAGATCGTATCCGCAATCTCCAATTTTATATTTCGAATCAGCATAAAATGATGTATAAACAACTTTTGCTGATGAAGGAATTGCACTGAAATCAGTTATATTAAAACAAGCAGTATAAACATTTGCTTGTGACAAATATGATCCATCCATGTACTTAACTGTTGAAGGAACAACAAGAATATTGAAAAGATCAATTGTTTGGTCATTTGGATTCTGATCTGAATTGCTTCCTTTTGTCCAAATGTTAGAGTCAATTGATGAAACTTTTTCAGAAGGAGTGTAAATTCCATCCGAAATTGAAAATGTTTTAATTAACTCTCCTGAAAGTTTGTTAATCAATTCATTCGATGTCGCCATGAACAAAGGATTATTTGGATCAACAGTGAAAGCACAGTTTGTTTGGTAAAACGCAAGATGTGTAAAATCAATCAATTTTGCATTAATTGTGAAAGATTTAAGTCCTGTAGTAGAAATTATATTAATGTTTTTAATATTCTTATATCAAAAGCATTAAAGTTCATTAAGAGAAAAACAATTCTTCTTCTTCAATCTATTGGCGCATTTATTTCTACACGCCAATAAGGAAGGGAAAATTATAAGACACCATGGTGTCTTCAAAACGCTAATTTTTGATATTTTTAACAACCCTAACAAGTTATTTCTGTATTAGATAAAGTCAATTTCGGACAATTAAAGAAACAATAATTTGGAATACTAGTAGTTTGTGATAAATCAACAAATTCTAAGTTAGGACAATTTGCAAACATTCCTACTCTTGGAAATCCTTTCAATGTAACTCTTTTTATTCCTGTTGCGCCTGAAAAAACATAGTTATCGTATGACATATCATTTGAAAGAACCATTTCTTCTGGTCCTTTGATGTTACTAAATGAATATTTACCCAAACTTACATCACTTTTGAAAGTTATCGTTTCAAGTTGCGAACAACCTTGAAATGCGGACATTGCAACCCTTGTACATGAAGAAATATCAATGGTTGTTAATGAAGTGCAGTAATAGAATGCATATGAATTAATAGTTCCTGCTTTTTGAAGATTTATTGAAGATAATTTGGAACAACGTGAAAATAATTCTGCTGAAATGGAATAAATGTCTTGAATCTGAATATCAACAGTTGTAAGCTCTAGATTCTTTGAAAAGCCATTTGTTGATGAAGAAATATCCCAATTTGGATAAATTGTCAATGTTTCGAGTTTGCAACCATAGAAAGCGCGGTTTCCAATGGAATATGAACCTTGTGATGCTGATCCTGGCATGACAAGCTCCTTTAGGCCGGAATTTTCGAAAGCTGAATTCGAAATCCTAAATTCGTTTAAAGGAGATGCTGTTTTGAAGCTAGTAAGAGCGTAACAGTTCTCAAAAGCATTTTCTCCGACTGAAGTTGCCTTTTCCGGTGGAAAACTAGCAAGTTTGTAACAATTTTGGAAAGCGGAGTCACCAACGCTTAATGAGGATGTAAACGTGACACTTGTAAGTGATCTACAGTTCGCACATAGAGATTTTGGAATGTTTGCTGAACCAGAAAGCGTCAATGTCTTAATTCCACTACTGGCAAATGCAGATTCGCCTAATTGGTAGGAAACTGTAACATCACCGATATTGTAACATGATTCGAAAGCACTCTGAGCAATTGTAGTGACAGATGCGAAATTTATTGTTTTAATTGAAGAAAGTTTGAAGGCAAGAGCTGAAATTGAAGTTCCCGTCTTCAGTTTGACTTCTTGGATGACATTGTTTGAAAGGAAATAAATTTCGGGAATATTAGTAATTTGGGAACCTGTTAGATCAAGGATTTGCACATAATCAAAGACTGTTTTAGAAGTTCCTGTTGGGAGGGCGGACAATGAATCTATTTTCAATGTTGTACAACCACCATTTAGAAACTGCTGTGCTAAAGTTGCTGAGAAATCAGAAGCATCATTAACAGTCATAACAGCTCCTGCTATTGATGACTGTGAATTCAAAGCAACATTTTTCGCGCTTAAGATGGATAGAAAGGAAATCGAAAAGCGTAACATTTGAGGAATTGTAAACATCTCAAATTGAAATTCAAATTGATGAACATAAAACGAATATGTACATCCATAGTGTCTAAATAATTCTTTTACGCCGGTTTTCAATTAAAATTGAATGTTTTAAAGGCGGTTATATTCAATTCATAAAAATTATCCATGTCGTAATTTCATTAGATATTTAAATTTCTAAATTTCAAGATTCAACCACTTCAATTGAATTTTTTTACATCTCTGAAAAATTGTATGACAATTAATTTGATATTGTAACAAGGATTATAAGTGATATTTTTTACTTGTGGCACTTTTCATATTAAAAGTGACAAAACCCCGAGTCATATTCTTTTATTCTAACAAAAAATATGTGTTTCTTGGGCATAACTCTGAGATTTAGCATACAAAAACATAATGAGCTCATAAAGATTTAATCTTGGGCAAAAGTCAGTCATATTTCAATTCATTCTATTTTATTCTCGGAAATTATTGGTGATTCGTATGAAATAGTACATCTTTGAATACCCAAGTACAACCATATACCAAATTACACAATTTCATAACTTTTTATTGAAAAAGACTAAAATCAATGAATGCGTAATAGTCTTTAAAAGATCTTAAATATCCTTGATCTGTTTAGATGTTTTTGGCATACTTGTTCATTCATTTTGCTTATATTTTTCTTTAAAATGTAATTCAATTTTAAAAAAATCGAATCTTAACTGGATTTTGTTTTAGATTTTGAATTAAAATTGAAACTAATGCCTTTTTATGTAGTTTGTACCAAATACAAAGAGAATTTTGAACCTTGATTATGATTCCCAATTTCTTTATAATAATATATTGATGTATATCAATGTATTAGCCAATGATACAAATTCATACCTCTAATTAATTCAATATGACTTTTTTTTGTTGGCGAAGCGGATTTGTAAAGGGAATAGTATGAGCCGAAATTAATTGTTAATTTATTTGATACAATAAAAGCAAACAAATCTATTACAGTTAGAAAATATATGTTTCATGAAATTTAAAAAAGTTTAGGCCGATATGAAAATTTTTTGACACAATTGAATATTTGATGCTAATATTTTTATTAATTCGGCATTAATGTAATATCATTTAATTATCCAATACACATATTATGTGATTTTACAAAATTTCCTTTCGGCATATAGATTGATAAATATTTGTGTTCTCTCAAAATAAGATATTTTATTGGAACTTTTTATTCCGTATTGCTATATATGATGGATGCGTTTCAAGAGGAGGATTAAAGTATTCAATCTTAGGAATGCCATGGTATTGAAATAATTTCTTTGTTTATAATTTTCAAATAATTATTTCAAACAAATTCAATGCATTCAATTTTTGAATGCGATTGATTTTGGTATTTTTTTAATATAGAATTAAATGCTATTATCATTCTTACAATGGCATTGTATTTCCAAAATAGAAATTAGTGGAGCAAAAGGAGTAAATAATGGCTATTTTGATATTAAATATCAATACAATGGCCAGGGTATTATTTTTTCATACATGGATACTGGTGTGAATTTAAAGATGATTGTCGACGGCGAAGAAAAAATACCAAAAAATCTTGACAAGGATCCATTTCATGATATTGTCTTCGACATTGACTATAATAATTTTACTGAAAATGATCTTTTTGTCAAATATATCTTTACAAATACTGGATCCAAGCCACATAATTTTAGCTTTGGAACTTATACAGATATAAATTTCAATGGTGAAAACTTTTTTGATGGTAATTGTAATGAAGTTTATCCAGTTGATAATAAAATTGTCTCAGTAATATGCAATCAAACAGGCAAAGAGAAACAAAAGCTATTTCTTGACCATGGTAACTACTCAGAATTTTATACAATGCCCGATAACTTTTGGTACGGTTCAGTGCCAAAAGATGATCCAAGAGACAAATATTTCCTTAAATTTGATAACTACAATGATCTAAAAGTGTTTCTTGACCCTGTGTTTAATGCTGAAGACGTCGAAACATCTTATTCTTGGAATCCAGTTATGATACAACCAGGTCAAACAATTATATATGGTATGAGATACTTTTTCATGATGAATGAAGGTTTTGAATTAATCACAGCAACTCCATCTGTGCCGATTGCTAAAGGAGAAACTGCTGCAATTCATACATATATGAGGATATTAGAGAAAGGCAAGAATTATTCTGTTTATCAAAAGAATGGAGACGCCGAATATTCATTAATTAGAACTTTTGAAGCAAAAAGGCCTCTCGATAGATGGATTTTCTATTACAAGGATACAACTGGCCAAAAAACAACTGTTTTAATGAAGATTGTTAATAAAAATGATAATAAATCTACAAATGAACTAGCTGTTGAGGTTCCTATATCAAATCAAAAGCCAGGACTTATATTAACTACAACAGGAGCAAAAGAACTCTACAGAAATAATGAATCGATAAATCTTGGTTGGCGGGTCACTGGAGATTCTAATTATTCAATTGTATTTGAACTTTACAGAAATACTCAAGTTGTTAAAACTGAAAAAATCCCAATCGAATTAAATTCAACTCATACATCTAACACGTCAAGCTTTCTATTTCCATTAGATGGTCTAAGATCAGAAAAATACAATCTTAAAGTATTTGTCGAAAACGATTTGAAACTTAGAAACAATTTTGATTACACAAAGCATTTTGTCAATTTTACCATTTTAAGTGAAACTAATGTTACTGATCTTAAATTTAATAAGTCTTATGTTCTGCCAAGAGATAAAATCGTATTAACAGGTAAGTTCTATGATTTGGATACAACACAAATGATTACATTCCATGTAAAAATCGGAAGTCAGATATTTAATTCATCTACAATACAAGCAAGGGAAGAAAATCAAGAATTCTCCATTAATATTACAGTTCCAGAAATAATTTCCGAAAAGATAACTTGCAGAGTATGGTCAACAGATCAAGTAGGAACAGTTTCTTTTGATGGGACACTTCCATTAACAATTACCGAGAGACCAAAAGTTAGAATAGAAACAAATATAACAGATAATACAATTTCATATAACAATTGGTATAAAATAACTGTAACAATAACAGATGACAATAATGGCACCATTTCTCTGAAATTAGGAGAAACTATTCAGACTCATGGATACACAACAGACAAAAGATCTGCAACTGCTGAATTCATTCTTGAGCCAAAAGACATTCAAAACCACAAATTCGAAAATAATCCACATACAATGAAAATTGTTGCAACTGACACTGATAGATACTCAGTTAGTGATGAACAAATTAAACTAAATGTGACAAATAAACCAATCATTGAAAAAAATGGAATCATTCTACCAGAGAGAAGTGATCCAAAGTCTTCTGTAGCTATCTCAATTAATTACACTGATTATGATGAAGGAAAGACTTTGTATGTATATGCAATTAATGAAGATGGTGAAACCATTTCATTTGGTAATTTCAGATCTGAAGGTAAAGGAAATGCCATTGCGACATATAAAACGACATATCCATCATTTGGTCGTTATCAATATCAATTCTTTTTATCATCCAGATCTGGCGTAAATACTCATGATTATGACGGAGATAATGTTGAATTTTCAAATCAAATCAAAAAAGCTCTTATTAGTACTGAAAAACCAACTTTGAAATTAACTGGATCTGCAGATGATAGATACGGATCAAATGATACAATTACAATAGAGTTGACTATCGAAGATGACAACAATGGAAGAGTTATTGTATATGTTGATAATAATTTAATATCAATTCCTGACGCAAGTTATACTGTATCGAATGGTAAAGGAACAAAAGAAATTTCTCTCCTAGTTCGTGGTTACTCTTCAGAAAAAGGAAATGAGAATCATACTGTTGATATTCATGTTAAAGATAATTTCAACGTTGAATCAAATCATGTCAATTTCACATTCCAAGTAGTTAATGTTCCTGTGATTCAAAATGCAACAGTGACACCAGAACTTTTAAGAAGTGATATTGCAAATGGAATGAATGTATCTATTTCTGTAACAGTAATGGATCAAGATAAAGGAAAAGATTTATACTTCTATATAAAAGAAAAAGAAAATAAGAATCAAAATGGAGTTAGGTACTCATTAAAAGATGTATCAAGAGGTGAAATTCACACATATTATTTCAACTATACTGTTAAATCAAACACTATACCTAAACTTCCTTTGGTGATTTGGGTTGAAGATGATAATAATACAATAGAAGATTTTAAGTACGGTGAATCAAGTCCAATAACAGTTTATGTTAATGTCACTGAAGCACCAAAGATGATTGCTTCATGTTATCCAACAACTATTGGAAGAGATGAAGAAATAATGATTGCGACAACAGTTTATGATGATACAAAAGGTACAATTCATTTCACTCTAAATGAGAAGGATTTAACAAGCTGGGATTTCGAATATGAAGCATCAAATGGAGTTTATAATAAAACACAAAACTTTACTTTTACAAATCCGATGGAATATGGAAATGAATATAATTTGGTATTCTATCCAGTTGATGAATATGGAGTTCACCCATTCAATTCATCTTCAGTGAAAACATGCAAATTAACTTATAAGAATAAGCCAGAAATTCAAAACCCCCAATTAACACAATTACAGGCTGATAATGATGAAATAGTTAATGTAACAGGAACATTAATGGACTATGATAGAGGAAAGATGCTTTATATCTTCCAGAAAATTGAAAATCAATCTCCTTTGAAAATTGGACAGATTAATTCAACTGGAAGTAGTCAAACCTTTAATTTACCTCTTGCAAACTTAATTAATCAAAAGTCTGGAAATAGATCAATTACAATTTGGGCTACTGATAATGAAGATAGTTCAATTGATAATGGCCGTAATTCTAAATCAGATCTTGCTCAACTATATATTTATATGGCAAATGATCCAAATATTTCGATTACAATTCCTGATAATATTTATCAAAAAGGTGAGAAATTTAATGTAACAATCGAGGTTATTGCTGATTTGAGTGGAACAATTTACATTAAAGATGAAACAGAAATAAATCCAGATATTGGTTCAATTTCTTTTTCAGGAAATCAAACCATAAACAAAACACTTTCATTTGACAGAGTTGGCAGACATTTCTTGCGCTTCAAAGCATATGGCCAAAATAATACAAACTCGTCAGATCTTACTGCTGAAATATTTATAAGATATGTTCCAAAATTGAATAGTATTTCATTAGATGATCCAAAGTTTGTATATGAGCCAGGTGATAAAGTTATTTTCAATATAGACTTCTTATATGATGCAACGGGTTATCTTTATATGTTTGGCAAAGTAGATAATTACCCTGAAATTTATGAAAATAATGTTTATGTTAATGATATCGAAGACACTAGTGGATATTTCCCATTAATGCTTCCTGATACATTGAAACCAGGCTATCACAATGTAACAATCTGGCTCCAAAACATTCATTATATCGGCGATAATCCTCCAAAATATACACGATCAGAACCGAAAACAATCAAAGTTTTATGCTCAACAGCACCTAAAATTGATGTTGATTTTGATGATGATGATATTTATGGATATGACGATGAGATCAAAATAACTGTAAGAATCAATGATGACGGAATAAACGGAAAAATTAAATTCTTGATTGACAACTATCTAATTCGAGAAGTGAATTACTCTATCACAACAAGACCTGAGAGATCATCGGATTATGCTTATGAACAGACATTCCTAATTAAGATCCCAAGAGGTGTTGAAGGAATACAATATTATGAGAACTATACTTTCCCATTAACAGTTGAAGTTTATGATGAATATTCTAAGTTTGACACAAGAGAAAAATACATTGCAATCATCAATAAGCCAAAAGTCTATCCTAGCAAATGGGTTTTGAAAAATGGTGATGCTGATCTACAAAACTCTGGTTCATCTGTCCTTCCAACTGATACTCTTACTATTTCTGGATCTTTTGATGATGAAGATTACGGCAAAATTTTATATTTGCATTATAAATTAAATAATTACAAAACTTATAGAACAACAGGCAAATATGTTCACTCTGATGGTATTCCAAATCAAAATTTCTCTATTGATTTCCCAGTTCCACAAAATCAAGCATATAAGGTTCATGGAATTTCCTTCTTTTTCTCTATGTTAGAAAATCCAAATTCTGAAACGCACAAAAATGTGATATCTGAAGATGTTAGCAAAGCGTTCGCCCATGTTCGCAGACCAGATATAGCTCAGCTCCGATCATTGAGATCCCTTTCTTTCTCAGCAAATGACCAATTTTATTTAATTTCCGAAATTAAAGCAATTAATTCTGCGAAAATTTTGGTAACACTCCTTGACAGTCGTCAAAATAAAACATTCGAACTTAGAACACAAATTGTCGATATCGATGTCGATAATAAATGGCAGAAGATCAATTTATCATACACAGTACCCGAAGGATTATCATATGGTATTGTCAATGTTACACAGAATGTTATGTCATATGGATATTATCCTGAGGATGGGCCCGAAAAAACATACTTTACATATAAAAACAAGATTTCAATTGATTCATTGAATATTGAAAATCCAAAGAAAGGATATGTTAGATCTCAAAAGATCCAATTTCAAGGTGTAATGAATGACAAGGATAAACATAAGCCAATATATTACTACTACAGAATTGGCGGATCTGGTAAGTTCAATAAAGTTGAAACAGACGACAAGCCAACACAAATATCAAATGGAGAAGAAAGACAAAATATTAGTTTTTCATTCATTATTGATTCAGATCTCCGCGGAAGCCAAAAACTGGAAATATTTGCATCGGATTTACCAAAATATAATTCAATCAAACGTGTTCTTGATAAATCAAATGTAATTGAATATAACATTACATTAACTGATGTTCCAGTATTTGGTATTACTCCACCTACATTGAGACATTATCAATATAATACAACAATTGAATTTAATACTTCAATTATTGATGATACTCTTATAAGTCTAAAAGGTTACATTGATAACTCAATTTTAGTTGTCGATCAAAATATTTCCGTTGTTGGAAAACTGAGTGGAAAAATTCAAGTTCCGATTCCGCAAACACTTGAATATGGTTATCATTCATTACAATTTTATGCAATTGATGAATTCGATGTTAAATCATCAGTTGTTGGTTTTCCATTTTATTTAATCCATAATCCAACAATCACGGAAGTCACAATCGATCCAAATTGGACTCGCCAAAATGATTCAATATATATCAAGTTCAATTACGATGATGTTGACAAAGACAAGAAGATGTACGTTTTTGTCCAAATAGGAGATAAAGTTCCAACTGAACATAGTGGTTTCCTTAAATCTGAAGGTACTCTTAGTCAGAAATATGATGTTTATGTTCTTATCCCTGCAGATGAACCTCTTGGAAATAAAGAAGTTCGTATCTGGCTATCCAATGATGAGAATCCAATGAATAATAGTATTGGAGCATTTCCATCCAATTATGGAAATCATACAATAAGAGTTACATTCCAGCCGGGAATTGATATTCATTTCCCAAGTAAAACAATTTATCAAAATAATGAAAAGATCCATTTAGTTGGAACAGCGAGTGCTGATTCTGATCTCACATTTACTTATTATGTTGATGATATTCCACAAGAAGGAAATAAAGTTGTGAAGATTACCAAACAAGAGCAAGAATTATCCGAATCATTCACAATTCCAAATGATTTAATGTACGGCTGGCACAAACTTATTGTTTCATCAGTTGATAATAATGGTTTGACCTCTGGCTCTGATTCTTTCGCATTTTATGTTACAAATGTTCCAAAAATCAATAAATTCACACTTAGCACAAATAGAATTGTAGAAAAAACAAATCTAAGTGCAACTGTTGATTTCTTTGACCATGATTTCCTCAAAGAAGTGATGTTTTACATTCAATTTAATGAAGAAAAACCAATTCTCATCAAGACAATTGAATCCAAAGGAGAAGATGATTCGTTAAACTTCTCATTTAATATTTCTGATTTGGCAATTGGAAATCATTCCATCACAATTTACATCAAAGATTCTGAGAATCATACATCTTACACATCCATGATTGCTTTCGAAATTATCAAATACGTTCCACAGGAAGAAAATAAACCATCAGGAACAAGTGGATCGGAAAACAGTGATGATACGAAAGGTAGAAAAGATTCATCAAAGTTAAACAAGACAGGACTTATAGTTGGTGTTGCTATTGTTGCAGTCATTTTGGTGATTCTTATCATCGTTGCTACGATTTTAATGATAAAGAAGAAGAAAGCTAGTCAAGGAGCAAAACAATTCTCAAGCGAAAGTGGTTCTGAACTTGAAGAAACACACGATGCTGATATCATTGAATCGACAATTACCAACATAATAGGAGAAGAAGCAACATTAGACAACCCAGTATTTGTCGGCGGAGAAATTGCAGATGATTCCGATTTGTTCAATGACCATGATTTTGCTAGTGATGATGATGAACCATGAGATTTAGAATTTATTCGTTAATAAACCATGCGTTTTAATATTTAAATTATTTGTATTTTTGAATGAGATTAAATTTCAAATCTGGATCAATTGAACAAGATATGAATTTAGCATATGTTTTTAAGGTATTAACCATGTGATTAACTTAAAAAGCTTTAAATTTCTTTAAACTCCGAAATTTTATTAAAATTATTTAAATTAAGGAATATACTGACTCAAAATCCTTAAAAATCGAGTATATTTCCAAGGTGTAAGAGAATGTATTCAAAAATATGTTTCATTAATAGAGTTAGAATGTAAGAAATAACTAGAATGCTATGATTTATTCATATGATCATAGAATCTATTATAAATCTAAAATGAATTTATATCATATGCGAATGGCTTTCATAGATTGATATTCAAGAAAAAAAATCATGAAAATCTCATTAAAATTGTTTGATAACAAGTAATTGTTATCATATACTTTCCATATATAAATATAATTTTCATGTATTCTCATCAACTATGCATTTTTGTGGGAAATTTGATTAAAATTTCGGCCAAATATAAAGATTTATCGGAAATTTGATAATAAAATCTTATTATATGAAACTATACATTTTATTTTCTGCAATGGGGTAATAAAAAAATTCCCGCCAAAATTCCTTGAGGCGGTGAAGCAAAACTGCTTCCTCGCTTTCAATTGAATTTTTAAACGCGCGCAAAATCCCCTCAATTTTTGAATTAAAATCTTCGAAATCAATGTTTGAGCCCGTCCGCTTCCGGGCTCCCAGAGATATGATGATTCCACAGATCAGAAATCCAGAAGCAGATGCATTGGGCATCATTCACGGCAAAAAACGCTCAAATTCGAAGAAAAAGAAAAAAATCATCAAACAGTCAACGATTGATCAACCAGATATGTTAGATATGGATCAAACTATGACAGATCTATCGATTCCTCCATTTTTACAGCATGCTTACGTTAATGGTTTGCCTCCACCGAAAATCGTCAAACTTAGGCAATGGCAGAGAGATCTAATCTCATCTCCTGAATGGAAATGTGGTAAAAATGGAATTATCCTTGTCCCAACATCAGGAGGAAAGACTGTTGCAGCAGATATCGCGATAGCCCAAATGTTGGAGCGAGATCCAGACGGCAAAGCATTATATGCATTACCATTCGTCTCCCTAGCTTCCGAGAAGACTACAGAGTTCAAAGCAAGGTTCTTTAAGCACTCAGTTCGCCCTTTTTATCAAAATATAGGGGGAGCCGATTTTAGAAGGGGGTCAATCGCTGTTTGTACATTTGAGAAGGCCCACGCTTTACTAAACAGTGCATTGAGGGATGGATACTTCAAGAAGTTCAAGCTCATCGTGATTGACGAGATACATATGATAAATGAAGAACAAAGAGGAGCAGTGATCGAATCTTTGATAGAAAAGTGCCTTTTACTGAGAGAGAAGCATAATATAAGGATCATTGGCCTTACAGCAACACTCAATGAGTCGGATGTTGACAAAATCGCTACATGGATCGGTGGATTTAAATTCATATGCGAATCTCGACCGTCAAGGATCAAACATTACTTCAAAAGTACCAATGGAACACTCTACGTAGCCGATAATGGCGAAGCAAAAAAGATTTCGACGATGAAATCATTAAATGATGATAAAAAACACATTTTATCAGTAATCAGATCAGTATTACGCAACAAAAAGAACTCCACGGTTCTTGTTTTCGTTAACAATCGCAAGCAGACCGTTTCTGTTGCAGAATACATCGCTTCCCACATATATGATGAAAATCCGAATTTACCGAGCGTTGTTTTACCAGACGAGTACTTATTAAGTGATCGCAAGCAACTTATACAGAAGCTTTCCAAGACAGATACAGGCCTAGATGAATCCCTGGCGAGATGTGTGATGAATGGCGTCGGATTTCATCACGCGGGCATGTTATTAGAGGAAAGAAAGATTGTAGAAGAGGCCGCAAAGAACTGTACCATATCAGTCATCGTTGCAACTACTACTCTTTCCGCTGGAATTAATATCAGATCTGTAACTCGCGTTGTTATATACGAAGCTTACAGATATATACATGGTATTGGCCAGCGATTGATACCTAACTCGTTGTACACGCAAATGGCCGGCAGAGCTGGAAGAGACGAGTCAATAGGAGGAGATGTAGTTGTTTTAGGAATGAACGATAAGGAAAGTGAACTGACCGATTTTTCACAACTCTGTAGCCAACGCTTGGAGGACATAAATCCTCATTTACTGGAAAATGATTTATTTGACCGTTTTCTGTTGCAATGCTTCTCAACAGGACTTCTCAAAGCTGGTCTAGAAGGTGCGATCGAGTTTATCAAGAACTCTTTCGAAGCTTTGTCGAACAAAAATTTAGATTTTGAAAATATCGCAAAGAATTCACTCGAAAGACTCAGAAACAGATCATTACTTGATAAAGACTACAAAGTTACACCTGTTGGCCGCGCAATTGCTGAATCTGCCATGAGTATTGAAGAAGGTATCGAATTACAAGGAATTATCAAGAACGTAGAGACCGGATTAAGCCTTGAAGATGATGTTCACATGCTATACCTTTGTATTCCTCCTTCCGCAATAGCAAACGAGCGAACTCCAGATTATGATTCAGATGTCTGGGAAAACATCATTTCCAAGCATGAAACAGTCACAAAACTCGTAAGTGGCATCTCAATCATTAACTTCCAGAAGCATTTCATTGAAACAAAGCACTTAGGAGGCAAAAACAAAGACGAAAAACACAAAAAGATCGATCACGAATTAGACAGGTTCTATTTCGCATGTTTATTGGGAGAAATGATCGACGAGCGACCACTTAGTGAAGTGACCAGAAGATTTTCGATATCGAGAGGTGCTGCACAAAGTTTACAGATGACATGTGCGAATTTTGCAGGCCAAACTGCGAAATTCTGCGAGAAAGTTGGTTGCCCACTCTTGGGAACAGCTTTGAACGCATTTAGAAAGAGATTGGACTTCGGAGTTCAATCTGATATTTTGCCTTTGTTAAGGTTACCGAGTTGTACCAAATCTACAGCAAGGAAGTTGATACAAAAGGGTATTTCATCACCTTCCGAAGTTGCTGAAGCTTCTACTGAAAGATTGGCAACAATTATTTCAAATGGCAAAACTGTTGAGGATTCAGATATAACTAAAGCGAAGAGGTTGAAAGATGAAGCTGCACAAGTGGCAAAAAGTCTCGCTTTTCTAGATACTTTGGAAGATTTCGCTGTCCAAAATACTTTGGTTCAAGAAGCAGGTATAGAAGTACTTTAATTATATTATTTTTGTTGTTTTGTAAATTATTTTTTTTATTTTTTTTTATTTTTATTTTTGTTTTTGTTTTGTTTATTTGTTTTTATTTTGTAATTTTTTTTTGTATAAGGGTGCAATGTAGACGTTTTATCAAAGCTCTCAAATTTCGATCAATTGGAGTTTAAGGGTGCACTTACATCCCCTATGACACGGCCTTCAATTCATATGTCAAGGGTTAATTTTTAATGACACTTCATGCCAGTTGTCAAAAATTTGAATTAAAGTCAGTGGCCGTAAGGGCAGCCTTAAGGCTAAACTTTTTTTCCCTCCCCCTTATATTTCCATATATAGTAATTATTTATTAGATATTTTGATTGATCATATATCGCTATATTACCATATATCATATCTATTAAAAATCATGGAAAAATAATACCGGTGTCAAATCGATTACATTGTACCCTTTGCATAATTGTGTTTCAAGATGAGAGGAGGGAAAATGCCGTATGAGGTTGTAATTAAAAAAAAGTATGTCAAGTTCGGAGAAACCAACAAATGGGAGTGAGTGTGATTTTATCAACTTCAAGCCAATAAAAGTATTCAAATACCCGAGCCGTGCTTCAAAAATTATTTGGGATGTCAATTCTAATAATATTTTACAATCATCATCGAAAATTTTAGAATTCATTAAAAATAACAAAATACCCATTCAAATGGCAGTTTCATTGATTGATGTTTTTTCACAAATTCGTTGTAAAGAAATTAATTTATTTGCAGAACTTTATCAAAAGATATCAAACGAATTTTCATGCATCGTCCAACCCAAGAATAAGAATTTAATAGCTCTTCTAAATTACAGGGGTTTCAAATTTGAAAACAATGAAAATAAAACGGAAGAAGAAATTCTCAATATATATTCGAAGGAATCTCCATTATACTACATTGCATGGGATAAAGTTGATGATCTTAAGAGTAAATTCCCAAATCTTGACATTGATGAGAAAATAGAAAATGAATTAACTCCCCTTGATTGTGCTCTTTTCTATGGATCAGAATTGTGTTTCAATTACTTGAAAAATTTAGGAGCTAAATACACTTATCACTCTGAAAGTTATGCTGTTAAAGGCGGAAATACAAACATTATTACGGAAATGATCAAAGATGGTAAATCGTTTGATAAAATGATTCACACAGCATTAGATTATCGACATTATGAAATTGCTGAGTACTTTAAATCAAATTTTGGACAAACGCCGTATTCAATCGCAGAAAGCATGTATTATGGAAATTATGATGTTGCATCATATTTACTTACTAATAGAAAAATTATCGACATTGTTTACATTATCCATCTCTTCATATATATCATTATTTCATCACATTCTCTTTCCTTTAATATCTATCATTGTTTTATGAAATTTTCTTTCTTTTCATATTTATCATTGTTTTAAGGAATTATCTTTCTATTCATGTTTATTATAGGTCAGGTGAGTGGGGCTTCCAGGCACTTCATGCCCTCTAGCCCATAAGAAAACCTAGAGGAGAACTAAAAAAATTATATAGTAAAAAATTAAAGTTTTTATTCGATAAGAACGACATCGCTATCGTTTTCTTCTTCCTCCTCCTCTTCTTCATAGTCAGTATCTGATGGCTCTTTGTCAGCCACATGACCAGCAACAAATATTGAGACAAATTGTTTCTTTGGTTTTGTTAGCAGGAACTTTTGATGGTCGTAGAACACGAATTCTACATTTTGAAAATGCTGTGCTGAGTATTCTGTGAAATGGGAAATTGGAATTGGTTCTCCCATGCCAAAACCAGCAATGGACGCGAACAAAACATCGTCTTCGACTCTTGCAGGTTTGTCAATTGCAACAGTAGTTATTATGTGAGTTTTCCTTCACATCCTGCAAGAGATTGTACATGATAGATTGCTTTTTCTTCTCCCTCAGGAACTGAAAGTGTGAAATGGAATGAGAGTTCTCCATATTCATTTGCTTCTTCGTAATAGTTGTATGTTGTAGGATACACCAATTGAAATTTTCCTATTCTTGTTTCCCTCAGGTGTTGTCTATATTGCTTGGGAAAACATAAAATAAATTGCTCTATAGCTTGTGTTGCTATTAGATTAGTTGTAACTGGTAATTTTGAGGCGAAAAGGTCAACAAGAACACCGGGATTTTTTATGTCGTTTTCAATTGGTTTAAGAGATTCTATGACTTTGTTAAACATTTCACTATAATCTGTGTTGTCTTCGACCCCCCAATTGTTAAGAAGTTTATACAACAATTTCAGTCTTTTCATGGCGTATTTTCTTTGAATGGATTCGGGTAGCGAGAGGTTACAGTCGTCGCTTTGTATTTCGTTACTCGAATATTGTTCAAGAGAAATTAAATCTTGAAATTGTGCTCTTGTTAACATACTTGTAGTTTGAGAGACTATATCTTGTTCTATTGGTTGTAAATCTGTTTCAGATGTTTCTGTTGTGTTTTGAGAAGAAGAAGAACTCAAATTGTTGGACAATTTGTCTTGAATTGTAGAACTATGTGAAACTTGTTCTGGTGCTGTTTGGACAACTGTTTCAGATGTTTCTGTTGTGTTTTGAGAAGAAGAAGAACTCAAATTGTTGGACAATTTGTCTTGAATTGTAGAACTATGTGAAACTTGTTCTGGTGCTGTTTGGACAACTGTTTCAGATGTTTCTGTTGTGTTTTGAGAAGAAGAAGAACTCAAATTGTTGGACAATTTGTCTTGAATTGTAGAACTATGTGAAACTTGTTCTGGTGCTGTTTGGACAACTGTTTCAGATGTTTCTGTTGTGTTTTGAGAAGAAGAAGAACTCAAATTGTTGGACAATTTGTCTTGAATTGTAGAACTATGTGAAACTTGTTCTGGTGCTGTTTGGACAACTGTTTCAGATGTTTCTGTTGTGTTTTGAGAAGAAGAAGAACTCAAATTGTTGGACAATTTGTCTTGAATTGTATGAGGAAGTTGCTTTGGTATTATAGGAGGTCGTAAGGGTTTTGAGAATGGTGAGACATAAGTTGTAGGAACTTTAACTGCAGAGGTAGTCGACGAATTGTTTGCGACATTTTTTCTTCCTTCCATTATGAAAAATGAACTGTTTTTTTTTCGGACCACTCATAGAAAGTTTGAAATAAACGGTTTTTGTCAACGGTAACCCCCCTCTATTTTTTATTTTATTTAATAGTTACCGTTGGCAAACCGTTCCATCTCAAATATTGAATGAACTATAAACGTTTTTTGTTTTCTATATATACTTTTATGTCCAACGGTAAAACTTTTTACACAACGGTTTTTGAGAGTCGTCGCCGGTGACTTTTTTGTAGAACACTCAAAATAGTATAACTTTGTCCGGACAAGTAAGGGTCTATCGTCGCTACAGGAAAAGTTACAGGCGTTCCAAGGAAGTATACTTTGAGAAGCCTTTTCTCCATTTTCAAACAAGATAGGACGGTTATTTTACAAAACTGACAACACTTTGACCGAGTAGTTTTTTGTGCTGAACAAAAAGTGTCATATAAACATCTGTCAAAAACCGTTTTTTACTTCACTTAAAATGCCACGTAAGCTACGTAAGAATATATGTAAGAGGAAGGGAGCATTGAAACATCCAATAGTAAAACTGACACCACAACAACAGTTGCAACAACAAATGATGAATGACCCCACTATGTTGCAACAAATGTCAAGCAACCCTATGCTTTTAAACCGAGTTATTGGTGCACAGAGTGGAGGTTTAAGAGCAGCACTTTTAGCGAAAATGGCAGGCTATGGAGCTGCAGACGGAACAGCTTATAACCCTCAAAGTCAAATGAATTTGAGTTCACTCAAAAATCAAATAGCAGATGTCAAAAAGTCAAACATAGACATACAGAAACAAATAAGTGAAAACGAAAAGAAACTAGAATATGACAGACAGACAAAGAAACTAAATGAGTAAACGTAGAGAAAAAGAAGAAAGAAGAACAACTGAAAGAACTAAGTACAGAGGAATATGCGAAAAAAGTGTCAGAAAAAGCAGCAGAAGTAGCAAAAATGGAACAAGATGTTATAAATTTGAAAAACCATACTACTCAATATAAAGTACTGAAAGATGAAGAAATAAAACAAAAAGCCCTGAAGACATATATGGATAGCGATGAGTATAAAAAAGAAGTTGAAGCAAATGTAAAGGCAGAAAAACTTTTACAGTTGCAAAACCAAACCGTACAGTATGAAAACTTAGCACAAGAAAGTAAAAATAACGACGCACATGCAAAAGGCAATGAAAAGCGCAGAATATATAAAAGCTAATAATGACTGGTTAGATGCCCAAGCCAACGCTAAAGCAGCCCAACTTATAGGGTCAATAAGGACAAAAATACAAGCGGATGAAGACAGTTCAAATGAAGCTTTAATGAATGCTGACTTTAAGAATGCCTTCGAAGCTCTTCATAGTAAGGTGAAACTAGTGAACGACTTCTCATCTGGAAAGAAACTGAAGTCTGAAGGTTTCGACAAAGAGTTAAGAGAAGTAGCAAAAATATGACGAAAATAACAGATGCAGCAACGAGACAGGCAGTTCAAAGTGCCTATGACGCCGTTAGAGCAACTGTTGTGGAAAGTCAAGAAAAAGAGTTACAACAGACCAAAACAGACCTAGTAAATGCTTTCTTAAAAACGAAAAGTCAGGTAGGACATTATGCTGCAGATGGAACATATGTGCCAGCTGGTGGAACTTATATACCACCAAACCCTCCAAGAGAAGCACCTGTACCAGGACTACCTAAAACATTTACATCGTCACATGGACACAGACACAGGCATGCACCAAAACCAACACAACAACCAACAGTTCAAAATCCAGCACCACAACAACAACCAACACAACAACCAACAGTTCAAAACCCTGCACAACAACCAACAGTTCAAAACCCTGCACAGCAACCAACAGTTCAAAATCCAGCACCACAACCAAAACCAGCACAACAACCACCTCCACAACCAGCACAGCAACC